GCCTGCCACCTGCCATCTCAGCCCCGCCCATGCACCAGGAGTGTACCCAGCACTGGCATACTAAGGGGCATCAGGTAGGTCCTGGTGAAGGGTCAGGGCCAGGCCCTCTGATGAGCCTGATGAGGGAGGGGAGCAGCCCAGGAGCTGGAACCAACCTGTGTGCTCATGGGCCACCTCGCAGGCCTGGTGGTTCCTGCGGCCTTCAGGGGTCATGCCATAGACAGTGTCGTTCTGGTAGAAGACATTCTTCGCTCGGGAAAAGAACAGGTTCTTTAGGTTGTCAATGGCCTGGATGTAGGACAGGGAGCTCCTGAAGGGAGGAAGCAATAGACACTGGAGAGGAGTGCCCTCACTTGGAGGTGGGTGGGCTCTGCAGGGGGTCTCCTCAGCCAATGGAGCCAGTGACAAAGACACATGTCATTTCTGTGTCCAGCTTTGCCACCCTGGACCTCACATGTAGAAGGAGCTTCTCCCTGTGCTGGGTGCTTGGCTGGGCTGGAGTTTCCCCTGCTCTTCCCAAGCACTGGGGTCTCATTTTGTGCCCACTGGACCCCCGTAGCCTGAACTGCCTGCCTGGCAGCGGAGGCCACACCAGTCGGTGAGAATAAGGCCACGTTGGAGGATTCGCACTGACCTGTCCAACTGCTTACTGCCCTGGTGGCTGAAGGCGCACTTCATGATGGAGTCCAGGGTCATCAAGGAGACAGGCTCGAAGATGTCAAGTGGGTTCTGGTCACTGAGCTGTTGTTGCCATTTGTCCTGTGGGGGCAGGAGACATGGACCCTCCACATGGGACAGAGGCCTCTGCATGGGCTGGGCTCGGCCAGTCTCTAAATATTCACATGGGTTTCCTCACTTTCTAAACCAGAAGTGTTTTTTAATCACTTTTTCTTATAGAAAAATGATTGTGGGGCCCTCCCTGGTGGTGCAACTGGTTAGGGCACAACACTGCAAGGTAGCCATAGCTGCCCAAGTGGGATTTCGATCCCCAGCCCCAGAGCTGACCCACATGGCGTGGCAGACCTCTCCTGTCTCATCCACTGCTCCACTCAGCAGTGTACTTCAACGATCTGCCTGTTATGCCTCCCACTCTGTCTTTTGTGAGTCCTCCTCTCACTACCCCTGTACCTCCAGCCTGTACCCCAGTTCTGTATGTATAAATAAATGAATAAATCAAAAAAAAAAAAGGAAATGATTTGACATGATATCCTTTCTGATCCCCCCAAATAGCTATTTTATAATAAGACATGCTCACCTATAACACTAACGTTATTTGGAACTTTAGGACCCAAGCTATGATGATAACCACTTTTTGCAGAACAAAACAGTTTCTCAGGGACAACATGGAATCTTTTTGACTGGAGAATGGAGCAAGTTCAAGCAATTGTGTCAAGGATAGAAAACGCTGAAGGGCCAGCCCCGGCTCCTGAGGCAGGACATGGGGCTGCAGTTCCTTTAGTCATGAAATGTCCTTTCAGCAGAGGCAGATGAGGACTCCAGGCCCCAGCGATGTGAGGCAGCCTCAGGCCCAGCCCTAGGTACAGACGGGTCTCCGCCTCCCCAGAGGAGGGGGGCGTCCAGGCCTTGGGGGCTCCGAGGCCCGGCCAGCGCAGAGGCCCGGCCTTCTGGGGTGTGCGCCAGCACCGACGCTGCCCACACCATGGCCTCGGGAAGCTTGTCTCAAGGCCCAGGGCATGGACACTCCCGTCTCTGCGGTTGGAGACCCAGAGTGGGAGAAGGACCCCTCTTTCCGGTGGGGCTTGAGCCAGGTGAGTGAAGCTGCCCAGGCCTGCTGCCCTGGCTACTCTGGGCGTGGCCCCGAGAGCGCCCCCTGGCGGCCGAGTCTGGGTTGCCAGGACGCTGGTGTCCCACGGGGGTCCCAGCTGGGCTGTGCGCAGGGCGGGCAGAGGGCACAGACTTACCAGCATCACGCGCACAGAGTCGGCCACGAGCCTCACGTAGGGCTTCAGGATGTCGTAGTGGAAGGCTGGGGTCAGCATCCTCCGGTGCTGGAACCACGGCTGCCCGTTCAGCAGGAGCAGACCGTACCCTGGGACACAGAGGGGTGTTTTGGAGAAGAAGCAAGGGGATTAGACCCAGGACTAGGAGGCAAAGGGTACCAGAGGGTGGCAAATTATGGGCAAGGTGGGAGTTGGGGAAGAAAAGCCTTCCTCTACCCTGGTAGGTTCTTTCAACTGGAAAATAAATTGACACCAGACAAATGACTAGGAAAAAATATCCATTCAATGAAATACCCACAGGGAATTTTCCTAGACATTAAAAATTCTAAAGATAGAATGGAACCTGTGTCTTCTCCACTGAGGAATTGGGTGGAGGTCTGGAGCTGGAACGAACAAGCAATTCACAGGAAGATGAGAAGTTTGCTTGTGTGAACTAGTGTTTGCCAAGCCGTGCCAGACCATGGGTCCCAGGAATGATTCCATGTAAGCAGCCTGCCAGTTCCTGCAGTCTCTAACATTTGGATCAGGCACACTGTCAGCTCAAGTGATAGGCATGTACCTGGAATAGGCCTATCGCTAAATTCCTTCTGGAATTTAGGGGAGAGGACAAAAGTGCTTCCAGAATGTTTGAGTCTTTATTGAGTTTACTTTAAGACAATCCACATGCTAAAGTGTCTATTTGGGGGTCAGGTATTCTGCTTCCCTCCTTTTATCCCTTGAGGATAAAAATTTCCAAATTTGGAAGGCACCTGTGGGGTTCTTACAGCCCCTATAAAATAAAGGGTGAAGAGAGCGGGGATGGTGTTGGAAGGACTCAAAGCTCAGGCTGAGAAGGTTGGAGAGGACTGAGAAGTGATGTGGAAGAAGCTGAGCTTCAGGGAGCTCTCAGCACCCTAGGAAGGGGCAAATGCTTTATTAGAAGAAGGGGCAAATGCTTGATGCAGACATGAGTGTGTGGCAAGGAGCGTTCTAGGTGCCCAAGCAGTAACTCTTGGTGAAACCTACCCCAGACGCCGGTGGTCAGGGTTAGATGTACTTACCAATCCAGGGAGCCAGTAACCTGTATGTGCCTTGAGCCTTGGGGTCTGAAAGGTAATGTAGGCCATTACAGGTCTGCAGGGGACCAGATAAGAGAGGTAGGCCCCAAGCAGAGCTGGGGTAGGTGATTGTCTTAAACGCCTCCCAATGCCTCATCCTCAGCTCTCTCCTGAGTGAATGTGGCCTCAGGAAGTCAGATTCGGCTTCCCAGCAATGGATCCCCACTAGGTAGTGATTGGCATGAAATACAAGATCCGCCCTCCAGGCCAAAGAGCAAAACAGAAAGTTGTATGGGTTTTCTACAATTTCGGTAGGTTAGCCACCCCATGATCCAGATCAGGCAACAACTGAAGCCAAAACCAACTCAGTGTGGGTAGCGAATGATTTTTCATAGCTGGGGTAATTTTTATAATAAATAATCAGAATTCAGGGAAAAAAAGAAGTTTACCACACACAGTTGTTTTAAGCTAAAGTACACACTGCTACCTCAGGCTGGGATGATGGATGCTACCTTTCTGTTGTTATCACTGAACAGTAATTGTTTCTACAATTTCACTGACTTGGGGGCACATCTCCAAGGGGAGGCGCCGCTCCTGCCAGAGTACCGTTTGCGCTCACCTGATCTCCCCAGAATCATTTTCATGTAGTCAGGGTCATAGACAGTGAGTTGAAGCTTTGTCCCCCAATACCACCGAGGACAGGCACACGGGAACTTCTCCATCCTTTTCAATATTTGTACTAGCTCCTCATCATTTTGGAACTGTCATAAGGGAAAGATAAATCAACTGAAATATTCTGTATTGTGTGATTAGAGGGGATGTGAGGGGAGGGTGTCCACAGGAGATAGTTCTGTATCTACCATCAGAACTAAGAATTCAGAAGTGTTCTGAGAACCTGAGCTCTGATCCAGACCATGTGTGTCCAAGTTGACCTAAGGCCAGATACTGTCCAGGGTTGGGGGGTGCTGTTGCCCTCAATCCAAACAGCTTAGGGGAACGTTCTTTCTTCCATGGATTGACTCCATGCTGTGAAACTTTGTATGTCACTAGATAGAACATTTGCATAAGACACTTCTATGGCAACTTGCATCACTTGGAAGTGAGTTATTTGTCAGATAATTTTATTTATCTAGATATAAAATGGATGATACTTTAACATTCATACATTAATTGTATTTGCTGTACTGGGAAATACATGTTACTTATAAATATACATACACATTTTCAACATTTTCCTGGCATAAGTGTAATCAGATGTTAATATGAAGTCCTGTTGGAAGTATTTATAGCTAAAAGGAAGAAAATTTAAATGGAAAATGTGTATAATATTTTTTTATAAGCTGAATATGTAAACGTTTGAGGCGCAAAGTCTAGATGTGCACCTCTGAGAATGGTGTTGAGGTCGGATTTGGAATTTGGATTTTCTGTCTCATACCATATACTAATACCAATACCAATACCAATACCAATACCAATACCAATACCAATACTCAGGAACATTTGTGAGCTCCCCATTGCCTGCGGTAGACATTTAAACTCCTCAACACGGAGCACAAAGGTCTGTGCCTTCCTTCTCTTCCCTCACTCCTGCTGACCTGACACCCCCTGAACCCCACCACAGGCACTGCTGCTCCTCCCCAGCTGGGCCTGCCCCCCTCACCTGGGCACAGCTCCTTCTCTAGCTGGGGCACCCCTTCTTCGTCACCAGAAAATGCCTCCCTTCGACTTTCAAGACTCAGATTTAATTTACTCCCTTGGAATTCTCAGAAACATTTGGATCTAGACACGTTCCATGTAGTCAACTCTTCTCTGTTCCAACTGTGACGTGTAATTCAAGGCAGCCCCCTGCTTTGCAGTCTCTGAGCTTTGTGTGTGTCCCTCTGACACCAGGATCCCCCAGCTCTGAGACAACTGGCCCGACTGTGGATAGGGTCCCTCTGTCAGCTCCCAGTCCGTGGGCACCCACACGTGCCAGCGTTGAGTCAGACACTGAGGCAGGCTAGGGTACAAGCCTTTATCTGTGTGGTGCTTCCGGTCTGTTTGGGATGGAAAGGAAGATTAAGAGCAGGACAGTAGACAGAGCTACTCTGTGAGGAAGGAAGCCCAGCCTTTGCAGAAGGGGCCTGACTGTAGTGGGCAGGACACAGCCCCTCGTGCCCTTGCTCACTCAAGGAGGCATCAGTCACCAAGACTAGCAGGTTAACAGCTGAGCCAGAGGTGGTGTCTCCAGAAGAGCTCACAGCTGGGACCCCACAGACAAAGGGGCTGGGCAGGAGGTGCTGCTCTGGGAGACCACATGGGGCAGGAGTTGTCCCTGTGTCCTGGGAGAGCAGGGAGAGCACTTGCAGGAGGCAGTTTGGGCTGGGCTTTGTCAGATGACCCAGGAGGGACGAGGCCAGCAAGGTGGAGGGCCCAGCGTGAGCAGAGGGCCAAGGCCAGATGTACAGTCAGGAGGGAGGACACAGAGTGACCAAGAAGATGAGGAAGGAGACAGGAGGCAGAGATGTACAGGATACCGCTCCTGTGAGGCTCTGGCCGTTTCCAGTTCTTGTTTTTGACTCTGCTGATAACCATGTTGCCTCCTTCTCTGAGAAAAGAGAGGCTCCAGCTCTTTGCAACCCCAACTTTATTTCCTCTCAATGTTTATTTTATCCACAAACCACTTAGGAGTCCTTCCCCACAAGGCCCCCTTAACGTCCTCTGAGCCCTTCCTCCAGGCTCCGGGCAAGCAGAGTGGGTGTCTAGGACTGCCCCTCCCATGGCCTGCAGCTGTCCCTTCCCTGCTACCTTCAACACCCAGTATACCTGGACTAGCATCGCTCTGTAGGGTTCTCTGCTGGGTATGGTGGGGGGAGGGGTAAGAGGAATGAGATCCCAAAGGAGCACACAGAACAGTTGGGAAATGAGAGTTGGGAGGTAAACAACTTCTGTTCATGGGACAGCTCAAATGTCAGCTCACTTAATGTGGGGTCACCCTGGACACCTCTCACCTGTGCCAATTACGGGCCAGGGTTTTAGCACTGAAACCACCAGTCTGGAAATCCCTCTGTCTGGGCTAGCTGGCTGCTCTTCCACAACTGACCTCATCCCCTCCCCAACCTCACACCCACCATAGCTGGTGGACTTCTTTTCCTGGGAGCTGATGGCTTCTTAGGTTCCTGTCTACTACTCCACCTCCCAGATTATGAGCCACACATAGCACGGTTACTTGTATCCCCAGGTAAGCTCAGACACAGGTATAAGATGGCACTAGATGACAAGTACAGGGAAGTATCTAGAAGCCTGGTGAGGGAGAGGAGCTGAGGCTCTCTGCAGCAGAGGGGAGACTCAGGAGAGCAGGCATTGTCCTCAAAGAGCAGGCTGCCAGGACACCCTGCAGATCTGCCTGAGGAAGGAGTGCCCCCCACCTGCGTCACCAGCCCAGGCTTCCCTGAGGGAGAGAGCTCTGTTGACTATGATGAAGAGCCAAGACCTGAGAGGTGAGCTGGGCTTTCCCTGGAGGCCAAAAGATGTTCCCACAGCAAGGCTTTGTCCAGTGACTTGCTGACCTTGACTCCTCTGAGAACCCAGCCCTCCCTGGCCTCCCCTCTCTTCCTACCTCCTTATAGTGTCCATAGAACCAGTGGGAAGGTGGGGACGGGAACTGCTGGACAGCTTTAAGCAGCCACTGCCTGTACAGGTAGAGCTGGGCAGCCTTGATCAGCAGCAGGACCAGGCTGAGCAGGCAGGCCACTTGCAGGAGCCCAGACACGCTGGCCAGGGGGCTGGAGGGGCTCAGCACAGAGACGCTCATGGTGCAGCAGCCTTGGGAGACTGGTTGTCCCTAACCACCACGGTCACATCAGTCCTCCCTTGGGGGTGGGATTACTCCTCCTACCTGTGGGGAGGGCCATGGGTGAGGGCAGAGTTCAGAGTTCAACTGCTGGCAGAAATATACTGTGGAAAATTCCCCTCTGGAAACTGCTTTTTCAGCTGTCAGCGCAAATGGCCCTGCACATTCCCACTTTCCCCTCTCCATAAATGCACCGATCACTCAGCAAACACCTTGTTAGGTGCCAAGCAGCTGGGCCTGAGCACAGCTGTAAGCATGATAGATGTGAACTCTATCAAGAGTCGTCTCAGCGTAGTTTACTAATGTTCAGTAGGTGTGGTTGGTTTTATTCTTATATGTATTTTTTTATAGTTATATATTTTTTTAAAGATTTATTTATTTATTTGTGCATACAGAACCGGGGTACAGGCTAGAGGCTCAGGGGCAGTGAGAGGCTTCACCAGAGACAGAGTGGGGAGCAGAACAGGCAGATGGACAAAGTACACTGCTGAGGGAAGCAGCGGGCGGGTCAGGAGAGGTCTGGCTCGCCATGTGGTCTCCTCCGGGGCAGGCGGCAGGCGGGAATCGAACTCATGCGGAAGTGGCTTCAGATTCTCAGTGCTGTGCTTCAACCCGCTGCGCCACCAGGGAGGGCCTTCTTATATGTATTTTAATTGAGAGATTAATTATAGCACTGTTTCCAGAGAGGAATTCTTCCAGAGGGGATTACAGAGGAGTAATCCTCCCCCCAAGGGAGGACCGTGGGGGTCAGGGATGTTCAGGGACAGCCAGCTACCTAGACGCTACTGCATCAGGAGTGTCTCTTTGCCGGGATGTTTCAGAGGGGAAAGTGATGTGGACAGAGGAATAGAGCAGAGAGTCAGTCTTGAGTTGCATGAAACCTCCTCTGTTCATCCCCCAAACTGCCTGTCTCAGCTGCCTCTGAGTGTGCCCTGTACTTGTCTCCATCCATGACTGAGCTGTGACCAGATGATGCACTGGTGGACTGAGACTGGCCGTTGACCATGTGGTCCATTCCAGGGCAGACTCACGACCCATGAAGTGAATAACTTGTACTCCTTGAGATGCAGTTTCTCCTATAGGTGGAATAAAATTCCTCTCCTAATTCCTCCTAGAAGATTCATTCATTCACCCATCAATCACCAGTAACTATTTCTTAAGTATCTCATCTATAGATAAAGGCAGACAACTAAATTAGGCGTGATAGACCAGGACAAGGCCTAGTCTGGATACATGACAGGCAGACTAGGGAGAACTCTGGGGGGGCGGGGAGATGGGGCCTTGTGAGATGAATAAGAGTTTGTCAGCTGGAGATTGGTAGGCAGAGGAACTGGCACTGAAAGTTCATGCAGATCACGGAAGACAGCAAGGGATGAGGACCCTTTCATCTGCAAGTGTCTCACATAACTATTTCATTCTTTTCTCCTCCAAGATCAAATCTAATAGCCATGTTGTCGGTTTTGGAGTTAGTAGGTTTGGAGAGCTGGGACCTTGGGTTCACTCTGGGAAAGGTTTTATAACAGGGGGTGTCCCCAGGAAAAGGGAAGGTTCCAGGTTCCCTGTCCAGCACAAGGCCGGCCAAGCAGAGACTCACTGCCACTTCTCCGAGCTGGGATGGACCTGCCCAGTGGCCTGGAGGCCAGCAGACTAGGTGGAAGTGTTACAAGTAGTGCGAGAGGGGCACCCCTGCACCCCAAACCTCCCCTTTTCCTGGGGACCACCCTGTTACAGAAGGTGCTATGCACTCTGCAGCTTCTTTAGTTTTGAGACCAGGTCAGCCATTCCACTCATTCTGTTTAACTTTATTATTACTATTTTGTTGAGCCAGCTTTTCCTAACTAGATACAAAATTAGGAGATGTCCTTGTAGTCTTGTTTTGAGATGTTGGGTTTGAAGTGCAGGGCCCTTGGGTTTTTGGAGATGAGTTTTGAGCGCGGCGTCCTTGGGTTCACTCTGGTAACGGTTTCACCAGAGCTCCCCTTTCGGCAGCATGGGGCAAGTTCCCCTGGCAAGTTTCTCCATGAGGCAGAGACTCCATGATATTTAAAGAGCAGGTTTATTAAGGGGAGGGGAGGGAAGAATAAAGGACACTTGCACAAGCACAAGCAGACAGAAAGAGCTGCCCCAAAATGGGCAGGTTTGCAGAGAGAGGCCTGCATGGTCGGAGGTAGGCAGCCGTAGGAAAGTGGCCTCCGCCGAGGGAAGCCAGTGAAGAGAAGCCCCGGCCTGGTCCAGGTCACAGGCAGACAGAAGGCGGCTGCCCTGTGGAGGGACAGAGTGGGTGGAAAGAAGTACCTGCAGGGCCCTCCCTGGTGGCACAACGGGTCAAAGCGCAGCACTGCAAGCTGGCCATAGCCACTTCAGTGCCAGTTTGATCCCCAGCCCCGGAGGTGACCACATGGTGCGTCAGACCTCTCCTGACCCACCCACTGCTCCCCTCAGCAGTGTACTTGTTGATCTGCCTGTTCTGCTCCCCACTCTGTCTTTGGTGAATCCTGTCACCACCCCTGCACCTCTGTCCTGCACCCTAGTTCTGTATGCATAAATAAATAAAATCTTATAAAAAAAAATAAGAAGCAACACCTGCATAGTCACAGGTGGGCAGAAATGCTGTCTGTGCCAAGCAGAGATTGCACTTCTAAGATAGACTTCAGAGATTGCACTGATGGAGACTTCTTTCTCTTTGGAGGGGCTCACTCCTGGGAGCCTAGGTTTGTTGCTGATTTTGAATAAACTATGTAGAATCTGAAAGGGATGGGAGCTTGATTCCACAATGGGCTTAATCTTTGGGTGTGTGCTCTAGACTGTTCCCACAGCAGCCAGATGTCTGGTTGGGGCTTGTGCTTTGTAATCCAGGCATTGGTGCCAAGGATCTTAGTTTCTAGCTGGGTCAGCGGCTATGTTAGTCCTCTACATCCTCCAGCTTTTGGCATTGAGCCAGGTTTCTGGTCTTGGGATCCCTCCTTTCCTAAGGCACTAATTCATAGAGAGTAGGAAACCACATTACCTCAATAAAAAAAAGTACAATTAAAATACCTATATGGAGCTTGAATCTCCAGAGTTTTAAGTCCTAATCAGGAAGATAAGTTGAGCCTACAAAGAGATACAGGAGGTGGCATTGTGGATTGTGGAATGAATAATAAAAATGTGACCTAGTGAAGTGTCAGATGTGTGGAGGGAAGGCGTGTAAATGACCTGCTACTTTACATTTTTCCTAATCAGTGATCAGAGTCTTCTATTGGTGTCTTGAAATAGAACGTATTGGCCACTTGGTAAATGCCAGAAAACACATTGGGAACCATCAAACCGTTGGACCTGCTACACCATGATATACGCAATGGACATACCCACCCACAACCATCCCCCAGGTCCCTGTGCCTTTTGATGAAATTTTAGAGTGGAAAAGGTGGTTTTGCATAGTTGTTACTAATTTATTTGTGGCAAAGAAGAAAAACAATGACCTCAGCCTTGGCACTATTTCAAAACCTAATTCAAACCTCTCTGGGGTTGCAAAAAGTCACAACGAAAGCATAACTAATACTCCGGGGTGCATAAAAAGTGGTCCTGAATGAAGGTTTGCCTCAACTGATAACGTTCTTAGAAATCCGGGAACTCCGCCAGCCAGCACTGGCTGCCCCTCCCACCGCTCTTCCTCCTTCCCGGGGAAGTAGGGAACTTCCTGGAGGCCGAGGGGCACGGTGGGTCCTCCCTGGGCTGGGGGGTGGTGGATTCAGGACGCTCACCCGCACCCCCATCGGTCGACTGCCCGCGATCCGCGCACCCGAGCGATGGAGTCCTCCTGGCTCGAGACGCGCTGGGCGCGGCCCTTTTACCTGGCGTTCGTGTTCTGCCTGGCCCTGGCGCTTCTGCAGGCGATCAAGCTCTACCTGCGGAGGCAGCGGCTGCTGAGAGACCTGAGACCCTTCCCTGCGCCCCCCACCCACTGGTTCTATGGCCACCAGAAGGTAGACGGGCGGGAGGGCCCGAGGAGGCGTCCTTTCCACCCCTCCCAGATCAAACCTCGGCTGCCGCAGCTTCTTTCCCTAACGTCAGACTTGCTGTCTCACTAGCCTAGGGAGAAAGGGGGGTGCCCTGGAAACCCTGGAGGGGAATCTTCGGGGTTGGGAAGGGGGCTATCTAAACAGACTGAATCTGGAAAACAAAGGGTGGTTAACTGCCTCAAAGTTCTGCTCCACCAATCTCCTGCATTCAGGGACTGCATCTTTAAAAAGCTTCCACGTGTATCAAAAAAGAGAATTGTTGTCCTGTAGACATGTTATTCATTGCGGGAAATATTAAAATTGAACACAGAGAATTAACTTTCCTAAGATTTTGTTGACATGGGGAGACGTTTATTACCCTTTGGTTTCTCCTGGCCTCTAAATGCACCCCCACCTAGCCACCCACTCCCCTTCCTGGTTTGATTCATCGTACCAACTCTGGGGGGTGGGGGGGTTGGGGTGTGGGTGCTGGGACTACAAAAGGAAGACTGGCAACTGTGCTTAGGGGCCACACCAGGTGCAACTTAGAGAGGACATGAAGATAGTGGGTGATTGTGCTTTGATGGGGGCCGGGGACAAGGGGCTCTTGGGGGGGAAGAACAGTCGCTGCCCAGGAAGGAGGGAAAGTGGGAAGGACAGAACAGAATCTTAAGGGCTGGGCCTGGGTATCCAGGTTGTTGCCAGGCGAGCTGATGGGGGTCCCTTGGTGTCCCCATGCCAGGCCTGTCCCTTAGGCAGCCACTTTCAGCTCTGTCATCTATTTAAATCCTCGCTTGTCACCCCCATGTTTATTGCTGCCTATATACAATTGGAAAGACATGGAAGCAGCCCAAATGCCCAAAAGTAGATGACTGGATTAAAAAGATGTGGTACATATATACAATGGAATATTACTCAGCAACCAAAAAAAAAAAAACCACATATCTTTTGCAGCAACATGGATGGAGCTTGAAAAGATCATGCTTAGTGAGATAAGCCAGAAAGAAAAGGGAAAATACCTGATGGTTTCGCTCATAGCAGAGTATAATGGACCAGGCGAGAAAATAATAATAATAATGAACAGCCATATACCAGAGACATTTTATGAGGTGGAGTGGGGAATAGGATCAAAAACAGTGGGGGAGGGAAGTGCGCTGGACTATGGTGATGGCACATGGGTGATTTGGTGATGGGAAGCCCATGGGGATTACAACTGAGATGGAAAAAAATGCACAAAATGATGTAAAAATAAACTATTGTATTATTTTTTTAAAGAATATATATATATAAATAACTCAGCAGCATTCACCTTAGTATACTTTAGTGTAAATCCCCACCAGCACACTCTTGTAGCTCTTATTTTCATGCTACTTTCAGTTTATATCTAACCATCTGTGTGGTTAGATATCAAAAATAAAAAAAAAAATTTTTTTCCTTACTAACCTGTATTCTTCACAAATGAATGTGTTGTATTTATTTTGTTCTTCATTATTTTCACAAGATGTAGTATATTTGCTGGCATTGTGGGTGCTCACTAAGAATGAATGAATGAATGAATGAATACTATAAGTATTACTATAAGTAATATCATGTAAATTTATCCATTTGAAGGATTTCTGCAAATATCTTCAAAAACATAGAATTATTTCCTAAAAAAAAATGCTCACTTGTGTAATAATATTACACATTGCATTCCTTTGTTTTCTTATTGAAGTAACATTGGTTTATAACAGTGTCTCGAGTTCAGATGGACATCCTCATAAATCAATACCTGTACTTACATTGTTTGTGGTCATAAGTCTAGTTTCCTCATCCCCATGCCAGCGACCTGATTTACCATCTGCCCTCTCCCTTTCCCTTCTGGTAGCATTATTTTGTCCTTTTCTAAGTTTTTGTTTGTTTGTTTGTTTGCTTTTTTTACCTACCACTTCAGAGTGAAATCACATGATGTTTTGTTTTTCTCTGACTTATTTCACGAAGCCTAATACCCTCTAGTTTCATCCATGTTGTTGCAAATGGCAGGGTTTTATCTCTTCTTGTATACAGTTGTATAGTATTTTATTATGTGTATGTACCATATTTTCTTTACCCCGTCTTCTGTCTGCAAGTACTTAGGTTGTTTCCACTCCTTACCTATTGTCAATAATGCTGCATTGAATAAGGGAGCACATATATCTCTTTTTACGAAATCTTTGCTTCTTGATCTAATCAGCTACCAGCTACCATACCTTGAATTTCCAAGAGCTCTTCTCTTTCTTGCATCAATTATATACTACCTTGCAATGTGCTAAAAGTACCCTAAAAGTTAGTGATGTAAGCTGACTATCACCTATATCTGTCGTGATTCTGTTGGTCAGCATTTGAGCTGGACTAGACTATGAGGTTTTGCTCTTGTGAGCCCGGGTTCATTGATTTCAGCTTGGCTCATCCATGTGTCTGCTGTCAGCTTTTAGGTCAGGTAAAGACTGTCACATTAGATGCCTTGGTATATCTCCATTTGGTTCATTATCTTTCAGATAGCTGACCTTGGGATTCAGGATTCCAAGAATAGCAAGAGGTTTATAACCTTAATGTGCAAGTATTTCCTTTTTAAGTCTGAGTCATATTTGCACTGACCAAAAATAAGATACATGGTCAAATCCAAGGTCAGTATGGGAAAACGCTCTCAAAGTGTATAAATACAGACAGGCATTAACAAATTGAGGTCATTTTAGTGCATTTCTCCTTATGATAAAAATTTTATCTTGTTTCATGAAATGCCATAATATTTCTAAAGTATTAATCGCCTATTTTTTCTTTTTGTGTTTTAGCTCTGTATTTCTAACTAATAAATTACCCCAGTGGTCCACCTTGGTGGTGCAAGGGGTTAGTTGAGTCTCAGCACAATGAGGCTGTCTACAGCCACTGCAGCACAAGTTCCATCCCTTGCCAGGAGCTGACCCACCTGGCACAGCAGATCTCTTCTATTTTATCTGCTGCTCCCCTCAGCAGTGTATTTCAGTAGATCTGCCCGCTCTCCTCCCCACTCTGTCTTTGGTGAATCTTGTCACCCCCTGCATCTCTGGCCTATATCTCAGCTCTTGTATGCATAAATAAATCTTTTAAAATAAATAACTTATCCCAGCAACTTAAAACAACACTTATTATCTCACACAGTCTGTGAGGGTCAAGAATTTGGAAGTGGTGTTAATTAATCAGAGTGATTCTGACTCAGGGTCTTGCACAGGTTGCATGAGGTTATCTGGGGTGACAGTCACCTGAAGAGTCCACTGGGGCGAGGGAATCCACCTTCAAGCTCACTTACATGGTTGTTGACATGCCTCAGCTTCTCAATCCTTATTGGCTGATGTTCTGTTCTTCCCGCATGGACTATTCCTTAGGGCTGCTCATAACTAGGTGACTGCTCACCCCAAGTTGCATGGTTGTTTTCTGGTTTTGTTTCTGAACGTCTTGCCATATCCTAGAACCCTTTCATCCCAGGTAAGCCAAAGGAAGAGTCAGTCACCTTACTTTCCATGTGGCAACTGGCATCAGAGTTGAATCTAAGGTGAAAATTGCAATCTTTTATAACCTAATCTTGGGACTTTTACATGGTCACATCTGCTGTATAAATCCTGGAAAGTCCTTACCCAGTGTGGAGGAGACTAGTTAAGGAAGTGGGGGTTATTGGAGGTGGTTGTAGAAACTGGGTACCATAGTGTGTTTGGCTCTGCTGTTTGTGTTGAAGGCTGTCTGCAAATGTTTGGTGGTGTTTGGCTACCATTTTATCTGCTAGGGTGAGGCACTCCAAATGTTTGGAGGTCTTGTGTACTCTCCCCAAGAGCAAATTTGTTGGAAGATCAAGCTGTGTTTCCTTTTTCAGGTCTTTCTTCTACTGAAGAGCCTGCCCTGGCTGCTGGCACTCAGGGAAGCAGAGAAAGGGAGGGATGTAATCATTTGTTAGATAATCTTTCACTAAATCCTATTTTCAATTGGGTGTCTCATTCCTGCTCCCCACAATGCCTGATTTCTTCAAGTCTCAAAGCCTCTGTAGTTTGATTTCCCTAGAAAATAAAACCTTTAATCTTTTGTGGGACTTAAAGAGAACAGGAAGAGACCTGAGGTTTAACCAGCTCTTCCTTTAACCTTCAAATTCTTATTTAAGTTACTGCTTTCTGTTTTTTTAATTTTAAAAAATCTAATCTGATTCCCTTTCCCTCAGTTTCTCATTCCTCCACTTCTGTTTACTTTATTATTTGAGTTTGATTTTCATCTCTATACCTTCCAGAAATTATAACTGAGGAGGGCAAGTCAGAAGTTGGGTAAACTGAAAGTTGGGAAAGACTCAGTTCTGCCTGCCAACTCTTGAGACTGATATGTTAAAGCAGTGCTTCTCAGAATCTGTGCTAAAGTACCAGTTTTCCCCCAGGTCTATTTTAGATGTTTACTTTGACTTAAAACACACACACACATACACACACAAAGAAACTGCAGCAATGTCAAGTTATTATAGAATTTTCTAAATACTTAAGCACATTTTCTATAATTATCTCATCAAGGATGGGTTGATGTACATGTTCAGACTTCGAGTAGCACTGTGTTAAAATCTTCCACTCTCATTATGAATTTCTTCAATTCTAGTCATAGTTCTAATATTTATTTTTGCTTTATCAATTTTCAAGCATAGTGTGCATATAGATTTTGAATTATTGTGTTTTCCTGTAGACATCCTTTTCATTAATAAAATGCCCCTTTTTTATCTAGTGAGACTTCTTGCCTTAAACTCTCTTTTGTTTGACATTAGTGCATCTAAAAGGGCACACAATTCGCCCATTTGAAGTGTGTTAGTTTTTTGTGCACACAGTTGTACAACCATAACCGTAATCAATTTTAAAATATTTTATCATATCCAAAATAACCACAATACCAAAATCAAAAAAAAAAAAAAAAAACCTGTCATTCCCTAAGTGTTCCACCTCCTTCCCCTTCCCCCCAGTTCCCTCCCAGGCTATGATTAATCTTCTGTTTCCATATTCTGGATATATCATATAAACTAAATTAGACAACACAGGACTTCCGTGTCTAGCTTCTTTCATTTAGCAAAATGTTTTAAAGGACCACCCATATATATAGCGTATATCAGTACTTCATTCTTTTTAATTGCTGAATAACATTCAATTGTATGGATATACCAGATTTTGTTTATCCATTCATCAGTTGATAGACAGTTGAGTTTTTTCCAACTTTTGGCTATTTGAACATTTGTAAGCATTCTCTTGGGAGAATTTCACCTGGAGTGGAATCACTGGGTTAAAGGGAAACACTGTGTTTTAACTTTTTGGAGAACTAAAAGTTCTCTAAAAGTTCTCCAGATTGTTTGACATCCTCACCGGTAGTGTATGAAATTTCCAATTTCTCCACTTTCTTACCAACACTTGTTTTTCTTTTTTTCAAGTATATCACATTAAAATGTGATGTCTGTACACACTACAGTGTGTTTACCATCAAAGTCGCCAAGCATTTGGCTCCCTCTGGCCCATTTTCCCTGCCCCCCTATCTCTTCCCCTACTTGTAACCACAAGTCTGTTTTCTGTGGCTGTAAGTTTGTTTTGCTTTGTTCATTTTTTTAATATCCCACATGTGAGTAAAATCATATTTATCATTATTCAATTGACTTTATTTAACTTAGTGTAAAACCTTCAAAGTTCATCTGTATTATCATAAATGGCTAGATTTCATCATTTTTTTGATTGAGTATATATATATACATACATATATATATTTATATATACACACAACACACACACAACTGGTTCTTCAACACTTAGGTGGTGCCCTGTCTTGACTAGTATAAATAATGGTGAGATGAATATAAGAATGCATATTTCTTTCTTTTTAAATTAGTATTTTCATATTCTTTGGATAAATATCCAGAACTGTAGTAGCTGAATCATCTAGAAGGTATAGTCTTAATTTTTGAGACATGTCCATACTGTTTTTCATCATGGTTATACCAACCTACATTCCTACCAAGAGATGTTATTAGTGCTCTTTCACTTAGGAAAATTACAAGGTGGCAAGGATTTTAGGAACTCCGCATGTAATCTCATAACACCTTTGCCAAAACTCTGTTGATGATAAACATGAAGGTTTGTTTATTTCTGGAATATACCCCATTGATCTGCATGGTGATCTTTATATGAATACCACACTTTCTCCACTGCAGTTACTTCAGGACGGTAAAATGAAGAAGCTCGAGGAGTTTGTTGCAAACTACCCTTGTGCCTTTCCTTGCTGGATTGGGCCCTTCCAGGCATTTTTCTACATCTATGACCCGAACTATGCAAAGATTTTTCTGAGCAGAACAGGTAAGAAAAGGGGTCAGTCTCAGGAGCCTGCTCCCATAGGGTGATGTGAACAAACCCAAAGCAGGAATTCTGAAGCAGATTAGTACCCACACTGGAGAAAATGTGCAATAGGCCCTCTCAAGCCTGATGGGACTCCCTCATGGGCCCAGCCTCTTGTCTGGGTCAGCCTCCCCTGGGCTCTTTCAGGTCAGTGCATTGACACCTCAGGTTACCAGAGGCTTCTCCTACCTCTTCTTGGCTTTGAAACTTCAGTGGCAGCTCCAGTTCCCACCTCCAGTTCTCTTCCTGAGCATAAATCTTCAGGGAAGTTCAGAAACAGCTCTGTCTCTGTTGGTTCAATATAACCCGACTGCTAGACCACTAACTTGGCATCTGACCTCCTAGTTGTGGTTTTCTGCATGTGTTTGTTTTCTGCATATTTAACAGTTGTGTTCCCTTTTGGGGCTCAAGTCACATAACTCCCCTGTCCACTCTTTTCAAGGTTTCTGTGCTGAATTACTTCATAACACAAAATGAAAATGGCGAGTTTTTACTCCACAGCTTTGTAAATTGAGTCTGATAGTCCAAGCTTCCTTTCTTCCCTGTGCCATGGTCTCATGACTCTTAATAAAACAGCCTTTCCTTGAAAGTTTCCCTGTTTCCCATCCCCTACCCCACCCAGCCCACTCCTGACCCTTGCCATGCTCACCTCCAAGAACAAAGCTGTAAGAGACCCCATTAGGTTGGTGAGCACCCCTCTGCCTCTGCTGATTTGTACTTCACTTTGGTGTCTGGTGGCCCCTTCTCCGGGAGTTCATTTCCAGCAAGATGAAAGGATGTGACTTATCGCAACTCCTATTTGGGGAACTTTGTTATCCCCAGGCCATCTCTGTTTCTGTTAGAAAAAGTATACACAAGGAAAGAACCTGGGTATGTGCCAGTGAACCTCACGGCTGATCTCTGGCTCCCAAGCCAACACCTGTGGTTTCCCTGTGGCTTGCCAAGGACTGCAAGGAGCCTTGGGCTTCCTTTTGCTTGCCATTCGTAGTTAGTGCAGGAAATGGAGAGAACCTTCACTGACTTTGGTAATTCTCCCTGACACTGTTTTTTGTTTCCTGTTTGGCTCTGCAGATCCCAAGCCCACTCACCTGTACTCGTTCTTGATGCCTTGTGTGGGTACGTATGTGTAAGTGAGAGGAGGGGCCCGCTGCATACAAAACCGTTCCAGAAAATCTCAAATCTGAACTCAAAACTACTGAGTGGTAGAATATGGTAGCTACAGTTTATTTCAGGGAAAGATCCAGAGCAAGCACTTAGGTCAACATAGCTCAGTTTACCAGGAGCCTTCCTTATCCATTTCTTTCCCCAAAGTCTTGTTCTCAGGGCCACATCTCTGTCTTTAAAACTGTAGTGTTATCATCTGCATTTTTTATTGTGTCTTTTCTCTCATTTTCTTTTGTCTTTCCTTTTCTTTTTGGAGCTCCTCTATGTAAAATTGTGCTCCAAAAAAAAGGAAAAAAAGAAGGAAAAAAAAAACTTTGGAAAAAAAAAAAAAAAAAATAACTAAGAAAAAAAAATTGTGCTCCATGGCCCAATTTAGTATTATTCTCTGAGCAGATAAATTAAGACTTTCAGTTATACAACAGATGTCTATGCTAGACAAGGTAGGAATTAAATGAAAGGCTATAGGTTTTGGATTCAGAGCTACCTACATTCATTTCACTCCTCCCCTTCAGTCCCACTAACTAGTCAGGTGTGCTCCTGGGAAAGTCATCTAGCTTCTTTAAGCCTACGTTCCTTCATCTTTGAAAAAGAGGCTCAGGGCCTCCCTGGTGGCACCAGGGGTTAAAGCAAAGCACTGTGGGACTAACTGCAGGTACTGCAGCACAAGTTCAAGAGTTCTGTCCCCTGACTTGCCCGCTGCTCTCCTCAGCAGTGTATTTCAGTAGATCTGCCTGTTCTGTGCCCCACTCTGTCTCTGGTGAATCCTTTCAACCCCTGCACCTCTGGCCTGTACCTCAGTTCTTGTATGCATAAATGAATGACTCTTTCAAAAAAAAAAGAAAATGAAGCTCAGAGTAACATCTCTCGGTGGCCTAATGGCCAGCACTAGGCCTATGCCCAGCATCACAGGCCCAGCTGGCTGTAGGCTCTCAGGGGATGAGGTTATTGCATGTTAATAAGTGTAAGATCCTTTAAGAGCTGATCTTTATGACCTCCCTGGTAACAGGCAATAACCTTGGTGAGTGCTCCCATTTTGCATCAGTAACAGCTGTGGAGCTAGGAATTGAGAATGGGCTGTCAGGGAACACAGTGGGAACTCTTGTCTAGTTCTTTGTGAATTTTGTGTTGATGCTTTGCTTACAGAGGCTTTGGGAGTGGAGAGGGGATGAACGTTTGTTGTGTTTCTACTGTGAACTAGAGACCAAACTCATTGTGTCTATACCTTCATGTAATCTGCACAGCAATAAAGTGAAGTGAAGGATTTTATTATCACCCTTTATCACTGAGTAAACCAAACCTCAGGAAGGTTAAGTGACTTGCTCAGTTACTACCCAAGTAGTAACTGATGACGTCGGGATTAGACTCTTAGTGAGCTATAAAGCTCAATCTTGAGCTTCCTCAGAATGCTAAATACACCCAGCCCAAATGTAAACCTGTGAGCATTAGCCTGGCACCACTGTGCTGTGACTCCCTGTGTGTTATGTCTGTTGTCTCTGTCCTCGTGTCATTGAATAAAATGTCATGAGATTTTCTTCCTTTTATTTCTCAAGGAAAAGGGCTGGTGAATCTAGATGGCCCAAGGTGGTTCCAGCGCCGTCATTTACTAACTCCTGGATTCAGTTTTAACCTCTTGAAGTCCTATGTAGAGGTGATGGCCCATTCTGTGAACACGATGCTGGTAAGCGAAGGCATAAAAGTGCTTTGGTGTTTTGCAAAATGCTTCCAACCGAGAATATATTAGACATATGTTTAGTAGGTAGTGAAAAAAGTCAAAGGTGGATGAGTTCTAGAAATTAGCCAGTGTACAGGTACCAACTGAGCAATAGGTATCTATGTAAACCTTTGCTATGGCTCTCTGGGTGATTAAAAAAATAAACAGATGAGGATCTGACTCTCTATCTTATATATATTTTGAGATCCTACAGCAGTAAGCCAGGCACCAGGCAGTAAGACTCAAGATGTAAGTGGGAAGTGATGTGTATGGAAACAAGGAGCAACTAAAATAGCTTCTGATCCAGAGAAAACTCAGATTTGCCATAAAATACGAGCTGGATGTGAATCTGTGGATGATATGAGTGAGTGATTCTATGTACAGTGAGTCAGCATGAACAAACAGGGTTTGGACGTTGGAGTGGATTTGCTTAATGGCTACTGTGGAAGCACAATCCCATGCTTCCTGAGTGTGATCTGAAGCCAGCCTCCAGTGCTGAGGGCAAGAGAGACTAGAAAAAGAGGCAAAGGCAAAGCACTCCAGCTTGGAATGTGTAGCAGTTTCATGAGCAAGGGAATTGACAAGGTGTTGGCTTAGGTGGCCTCAAGATGAGAGTTCTGAAGTGATATGGAGGCGGTAACTGTTCAGTCATGGATACAGTCTGGTTAGTCTCAACATCACATGATACAGTCCACATTTTCTCAAGGCTGTATCAGGAGTGTGTCTTCTATATTCTGAAGGCAGAGTTGGGGAGGAACCTCCAATGTGGTGATGATAATGTTGTTGCTCTTGCTTCTTTGTGCAGGAGAAGTGGGAGAGGATTTGCAGCACTCAGGACACGGCTTTGGAGGTCTCTGAGCACATCAGCTTGATGACCCTGGACATACTCATGAAGTGTGCTTTCAGCTGGGAGACCGACTGCCAGATAAATAGGTCAGTGACAGGAGGGCCAAAAGAAGTCACTACTCACCATTGAGTCACCATTAAGTCATTTATTAACATAGCACCCCCACTTTCTCTTATAGCACCCAAGATCTGTATGTAAACGCCATGGTTGAAGCCAGCAAAATCATCTTTTATGACATGCATAATTTCTTCCATCACCAAGACATAATTTTCAAATTCAGCCCTGAGGGCCACCGCTTACAGGAGATAAGCAACATGTTGCATGAGTGCACAGGTATTTCTTGGGTTTGAGTTGCCCAACTTTATGTACTCAGCACTGTTCTGTGTCTTCTAGAGGAACATCCCTCTGTGCGGAAAGGGAAAGATTGCTTGTTCTTTCATGTAGCTTTGATATGGGCACTGCTGAAATGAAATGCAAGACCTCTAGAAGCATTTGCTTTGTCCACAGTAGTAATCATGTCAAGGGGTTTCTGTTATTTTCATGTTTTTATCATGCACAGTTATTACTTGTACAAATATAACAGAGTGGACATTGCAGATTTCAAAACATATGTGGAATATGACTTTTGAGCTGTAACTCAAGAAAGGATAGCAAGCCAAACATTTCTGTGACATTGGTGTGAATAGGGAAACAGAGTAAATGTGGACATGGAAAAGGGAAAGGGGGAGTTGTTTAACAAGTGTAAAGTTTCAGTTAGGTAAGAAGAGTAAATGCTAGAGACCTGCTATCTAGAATGGTACCTACAGTAACATTGTTGTCCTGCTCACATAAAACTTTACTAAGGGGGTAGAGCCTAGGGAAAGTGTTCTTACTGCAACAACAACCAAATAAATGAAAACAAACTGATTTCAAAAATAGCTCTAGCAAAATATAAACATATTACTTGAGATAGGCTAAGTTTTTAAGCAATTCAACGTTACTTGTCTTGAATACCCTATCAGAGAATACTTATCAAGCAGTTAATTAATCCTTCCTCAGCACCACTACTTCTTAGCAGTGTGACTTTGGGCAAGTTACTTGCTGCTTTGTGTCAATGTCATCTGTAAAATGGGGGTAAAAAACCTATCTCATAAGGTTTCGGTGATAATTACATACGTTACTATATGTAAAGGGCTTAGGACAGTGCCTGCCCTGCAGAAGCCCAAGTCTGCCCCCAGGAAACTAACAAGACATCAGCCTACACACACTCACATGCAGAGCAACACCTGTGAACGTTGGTGATGCACCCACACCTGAAGGCATCCCAGTTACATTGCCTCTCTAGTTATCAAGTGTGTTTTGGTCTTTTGTGTTTGTCTTTGGAGTTTTGAGCAAAGCTGAGCATCTGATAGGAAAATAAACTGCTGCAAAAATTAAATTTTTTTAAGATTTATTTATTTATGCATACAAGAACTGTGGTGCAGGCCAGAGGTGCAGTGGGGTGAGAGGATTCACCAGAGACAGAGTGGGGAGCAGAACAGGCAGATCTAATGAAACACACTGCTGAGGGGAGCAGCGGGTGAGAAAGGAGAGGTCTGCTGCTCCATGTGCGTCAGCTCCCTGGCTGGGATAGAACCCATGCTGCAGTGGCTGCAGAAAGCTTCAAAGTACTGCACTTTAACCCCTTGCTCCACCAGAGAGGACCAAAAATTAAATCTGCTTGATAGAACGTACCCACTCTGACCTCAGGAAATTGGGCAAAATTTGATGTTATTTGTAGGCTATGGCTTGTTCTGTAATTTGTCTTATTTTGTTTTACTTTGCTATTGCTTTGTAATGGGGAATTATTATTCCACCTCAGAAAAAATAATTCAGGATAGAAAGAAGTCCCTCGAGAATGAGGAGCAGGATAACACTCAGAAGAGGAATTACCAGGATTTTCTGGATATTCTCCTTTCTGCCCAGGTAGATGTCTCAAATTTCTGAACCTGCTCATTTATATAGTTAACTATATGGACGAGTGTGGAGAAGGGGAAGCAAAAGAAAATAAGTCAGCTAAATTTATCAGTGTTGAACTGATGGGATGCCTCCATGCAGTTTGAAGTAAAGATGGAATTCTGCAATTCTCATTAAAGGGGATCTGTAAGACTAATTTTCCACTGATTTAACAGGACTTGGCGATTATCACAAAGATAACCCATTTACTGGGTTCATGGCAACACAAGAAAATGGGTCATTTAGTAAGTTGGGGAAATGCTGAGGAAGAGGTGCTAGAAAATCTTGTAGGATGTTTGCAAGGATTCTTGAAAGGCCTGTTTCCTTATCTAACCTTTTTTTGAGCAAGTGCGGTTCATCTATGTATTCTTTGAACTGCATTAAAATTGGAATTCTCCTGTGAAACTCTAATTCTACCCTAATGTTGTTATTTGATTGGGGTTCCAATCAGCTACAAACTGATGTTGCATACAAATGTCTCTGCTATACTTTCTAGGCTGAATATGGCGACAGCTTCTCGGATTCTGACCTGCAGTCCGAAGTGAACACATTTGTGTTAGCTGGCCACGACAGTTCGGCCAGGGCCATCTCCTACCTGCTCTACCATCTGGCTATGAACCCCGAGCACCAGGAGAGATGCCGGGAGGAGATCAGAGGCGTCCTGGGGGACGGGGCTTCCATCACCTGGTACGCGCTGAATCCCAAAACATTTCCCCCTCGTTCTTCTTTGGGTAATTTGCTCTCTTATTCCCTGGTACATTGGTGACCACAGATGTGTATATGTGGAAGCTGAGGTAGGCTACTATTCTGATGTTTTTCTTCAGGGCCTAAAATTATCTATCTTTGGCAAAAGAAGTCTACTCTCCCATCTGCTTCACTGTTTTTCTAACGAGTGGCTTGCAAAGTGGCCTAGTTCTTTCTTTTACCCAGGCTGTGGGGCACTGGAGATGAAATTTGATCCTGGATTTGCATTTAGAGCTTAAGTGATAGGGCTCAAAGGGGGTTCCTTTTCCGAGAGGCTGTTTGAGCCTCTGCGTTATTTAGACCTCACTGGAGACATCCTCTCCTGTCCCTTTGTCACAAGTTTCACTGCTTGGAGTTAGCTTTGGGCTTTGGACATAGTACTAGATGATACACGCTTGACTGAGCTTGATGAATATGGGCTGAGGATATTATTAGTACTGAGGCCGGAAAACAAGGTACAGGATTTGAACATCCCATGGTGTCATGAAGATATTTACAGTTCTTTGGGCCTTTTTCCTATGGGACCTCGGTGGATTCTGAGGCAGATGGATCCCACTTATAGCATTCTCAGACCTAAACTGGTTGGCAAGAAGCTTAACCTGATGCTGATATTTCCTGAGAACAAACATCAAATGAGGAATGTATATCAACAATTACAGACTAGATCTGGAATCTCACTTCCCTTCTCTGTCCCTTTGTCCTCACAGGGAACAGCTGGGTGAGATGTCTTACACCACAATGTGCATCAAGGAGTCGCTCCGACTGGCCCCTCCAATCCCGTCCATTTCCAGGGAACTCAGCAAGCCCATGACCTTCCCTGATGGACACTCCTTGCCTGCAGGTATTTGCAGTCTTTATCTAACCACTTCCTACCACCTGGGCTCCTGGAAACCACAGTGCCAAGATTAGCAGGCTTCTCAACTCCTGGAGAAATAAAAAGACAATCTTAAGGATTGGGCACTTAGTCAGAGCTCAGTAGTCATGACCAGATCCGATGTGGGTTTCAGAGTTCCCAAAGGTCAAAGCCATTTGCAGCAAAGCCATGCCCAGAACCCATAACTCCAGAATCCTTCTTCTACTGTAGGGTTTCTTCTACTGTAGGATTTCTTTCTAAGATAATCCTTATTTGGCTGATTTTAAGACCCAGGTGAGACACATGCAACCATTCTCTAGAAGACCCAAAGGGGGTCTTTGGCTTCATCGCATATCACCCTTATAAATATGCAACACTTAGTAGCTTGTATAGAGCCTTCAAACACATTATCTCAGTAAATGGTGCTTTCCCATTTAAAAAGCATTCTCCAATATTCTTGGTATAGCCAGATACCCACTGTGAACCCAGCATGCAGTGAGCAGAGCTGAAACTTGCACAGAGGTCGGTAGCTGGCACCCAGTGTCCTTCAGAACAGCAGTTTTGTTTTTGTTTTTTGTTTTAGCAGAGCAAGTAGGAGACAAAGGGGTCGTAAGAGACAAGCTCCTTCTCTGCTTGAGTGTTCTATTAACCCTTGGAACAAGCTAACAGGCTTACTTGTAGCAAACACCAGCAGCCTATCACTTCCTGTGATGTTGTTAATGGATCCAGAGTTCATTTACCACGATTATTTCTGGTAACTGAATATTCTAATTCCCCTGCCTTTTTTTAAACTACCAAAGCATGAATATTTTCCTAAATTCCCCACCTCCACGTAAGAATCGCAGCAATAATAACTTGTCATTGGACCCACTCGATGGCATTAACCCATATGGTCCCAAGGGTGTGCTTTGTATTTATTAACAGATAAGGAATTTTCAGGGGCAGAACAGAAAACATGAGCATGGGTTATTTTGCTGGGTCATTAGGATCGTTGGGATAGAATTAGGTATTAAATAAATCATTGCTTTGAAAACTGAGAGACCACCCATGGCTCATCTGTGAGCTGAGGCTGCTGGCATCAGCCACTGAACATAGAACACTGCCAGAAGCAGCTCTTTCCCTCCTAGAAGACAAGTCTTACTGAAGAGCAGTGTAAAAGTAGGCCACAACTTGCTTTTTCTCATGTAATCTCTTTTATTTCCTTCCTTTCCTAGGAATAACTGTGGTTCTCAGTATTTGGGGTCTTCACCACAATCCTACCATTTGGGAACACCCAAAGGTATAACGGTCTTGCATGTGAATGTTTCAGATCTCTAAAACATTCAGAGTGCAGATCTGGAGAGGCAAAAAAGAAGTGTTAGCTCTGCTTGGAAGTGGCTGACCAGTTAAAGCAGATTACACAAAAACAAACATAATATCCGAAAGTATCATTCTTTTCCTCTTCCCCTACTTTCACTTTATCTTGACTTTAAACGACTAGATCAGCATAATGTCATGCAATCTGCTCTAACTTGTCATAGCCTGACTCCAGCCATTTACCTGGCAAACCCTACCACGTATTTCCCTGCATATCTGCATGAATATAGACTGTCAACTTAGTCATTCAAGCAACTCACACCCCCTCCCCCTTGGCTGGTTGTAACAGTCAGGATTCTGGGAGGAAATCATGACACACTTGGGGAGAATTGTATAAAGGGATTATGCACAGAGGCATGGGTGGGTCCAGGTACAGATAACTGGTGGTGCAGATAACTGCAGAAGTTCTTACTACCCCTAGGACTGACAGGACACAGAAGATGGGGTTACAGAACCCAGAGATTGCCGCTGGGAAAGACCTCCAGGCCAGGATGGTGGTCTGTAGGAGAGCATACGGCCAACCTGACACAGCCTGGAAGGAAGAGCCCAGGGAATAAATATCTTGACACTCTCTTTACCACACCGATCCCAGTCAGTGCTTTTTATTGGCCAGCCCCCCCAAAAAAGTCCATAGGGGTCAGCTTCTTGGAGCCTAGAGCAGGATGGGAGAGGGAGGTGGGAAGGCAAGTCTCAGCAGCAGGGGATCGCAATATCCTTGCAGTTCACCTTCTAGTCGATGCAGTCTGACCTCCAAGGTGAAAATAGTGCTTCCAGCTGCTGGATGGCTGCTTTGCCCTTAGTTTGGGTGACTGGTCAAATGGCAAAGCAGGTAAGATCTGGGGGTCTCGAGTTGCCCTTTGAAAAACAGCTCGTTGGAATAGAGATATGCTGGGAATATAAAGTACGTGTAGGATTTTGAATAGTCCCCATATAAAAATTATGAATTATTTCCTTCATGATTATTTAAATTGACTACTCATTCAGTGACAGTATATCTATAGAATAAACTGATTAAAATGAATATTACCTTTTCAAAATGTGGTTTCCCATGACATTTGGACTGACATATGGGATGTGACTCACAGTCTAGTACTGTTGATCTGTGCTAAGTAAACACCACATTTGCTCGAGGTGTTTTGGGTCTGATGGTGGTGTCACCTCTCATTTCAGGTCTTTGACCCCTTGAGGTTCTCTCAGAAGAATTCTGATCAAAGACACCCCCATTCCTTCCTACCCTTCTCAGCTGGACCCAGGTGAAGACAATTTGGGTCACTGAAAATGCACGGTATTCACTTGGCAACAGCTCGCTCCCATCAGCCCCTGTGTTCCATACATTCTTCCATGGAACCCTGTCTCAGGGCTTGAGAAACCTCTTAGCGCCTGATAGGGTCAGTTAGTCTCACAAATCACAGTGCCATTCTGTGTCAATCCTACAGCATCAACCCTTGGAAAGTTGCCCACGGTGAGAGCTGTTAGTCAGAGGCTCAGCACAGTCCACCTTCATTGCAGGAGAGATTTTTTATCTCATTCTTCTTGAGGTGATTTGACATATAAAATTGTAAGAGAAAGTACGTATTGTGAAAGGACCCCACCTCATCGAATCAATGCATCTTTCACCTCACGTCTTTTTTTCCTTCAGAATTTTTTTTTATTTATGCATACAGAACTGGGGTACAGGTCAGAGTTGTGAAAGGACCCCACCTCATCGAATCAATGCATCTTTCACCTCACGTCTTTTTTTCCTCAAAAATTTTTTTTTATTTATGCATACAGAACTGGGGTACAGGTCAGAGATGTGGGGGCGGTGAGAGGCTTCACCAGAGCCAGAGTTGGGAGCAGAACAGGCAGATCGTGGAAGTTCACTGCTGAGGGGAGCAGCGGCGGATCTGGAGAGGTCTGCCACGCCACGTGGTTGGGGGGGCGGGTGAAGGGGGGGAAAGGAGCTCGCCAGGAGGCGGCTGCAGCGTTTGCAGCGCTGCTCCTAACCCGCTGCGCCACTAGGGGGGGGCCTCACCTCACATATTTATCTTGTTTCTGTGCATTAGAAAATTTAAGTTCTACTTTCTTAGAAAATTTTTTTTTTACATAGAGTCTCAGCAACTACAGTCACTGTTGTACATTAGATCCCAGTGAAGTAATTCTGTGAGCAACTTAGGCGCTCCCTTGTTTACGAGAGATGATCTCAGCCTCCCAGGCCCTATGGAGCAGGAACCACTGTAAACACAAAGTCCAACAGTCTGTAGGGCATTTAGTATTGGCTTTACTGTGATGTTTTATCAGAGAGGAGAAACCCCATTTCTTCAAGTGTGTCCTTTTCCTTGGTGTTTGCAGGAACTGCATCGGAGAGCACCTTGCCATGGCTGAGCTGAAGGTGGCCATTGCGTTGATTCTGCTCCACTTCAGGGTGATTCCAGACCCCACCAGACCTCTCCTCTTCTTGCCCCAGACTGTCCCCAAACCCCAACATGGGCTGCACGTGTGCCTGAAGAAACTCACTAAATGCTAGGGCCCCAAACAAATACCCTATATATCTGTTTTGAATTTAAAGCACAGCCATGGTCTAAGAAAAAGGAAAGAATGAAAATATGGTGGAACGGGAGGGGTGGGAAGATGGGGGTCTCTGCACATTATCCAAAAACATTTCCAGATGACAGTGTCACCTAGCTCTATCTCTATATGCCTTTGGAGGGTTTTCAGATCTGTTCTGTTTGATTCAGACTATTAATGCAATGTACCAAGATTTTTGTTAGGTTACTTTATTTTCTGTTGTTTCTTAAAATGGCTCGCAGGTGTATAGCAGGTGTATGTGTGCTTGCTGTAAAGATATCCAATACTAGAAAAGCCTGTAGAGTAAGAGTAAAATTCCTGCTTCACGTGGCTCATACCAATCTTACTATTTTTTCCAAAACACAGAATCATTTGGTATGCATTCTTTCAGACTTCTCCTATACATTCCCTATGCACGTTTGTGTGAGTGTGTGTGTGTGTATTTTTGCAGGTGGGATCACATTCACATTGTTCTTGCATTTTTCATTTAATAAAAGTACCTCTCATTCCTAGTTATAGGGATTAATGCTAATATTAATTCTATAGTATGGATGCTCTGCAATTTAACTATTTCACTATTACTAAACATGTAAGTTATTTTATACAAAATACTTATTGCCCAGTGTGTTTATCTTTATCTTGTACTCGGACTATTATATTATCTATGTTTATTTTTTATATGGAATTTGCTTTTTTCTTGGTTCCTGTGAGTTCTTAGTACATTGTGGATAAAAATCCTTGGTTGTAAATTCCCTTTATAATTATTTTACTTTTAGAAAGCTGTATTTATGGTGTGTGTTAACATATGAAGCTTCTAAATTTTCATGAAGTAAAATATGGCTTTTCTTTGTAGTTTTTTGTGTTGGTTTTTTCATGTTAAATAAGAGTCCTTTGAGCAATTATCAAAATATTCTACATATTTTTCTGGTGCTAACAACTCTCAGGCAAACTATATGGAAATATCTTAATGGTTTTCACATTCATTTGGTGTTTAAGTGCCTATCAGATGCTGTGATAATCACCGAGGATTCAGTATATTAATAGACATGACCTTAATGAAGCTTATATTCCAAAGTGGAAGATGGGTAAAAAAAAGTGTCATAAGTGCATTGGAGGAAATGGGTTGGTTGAGCTAAGTAGTAGTGAGATTTCTTTACACTGGGTTTTTAGGGAAGCCCTTCTCAAGAAGCTGACATATAAGGAAAGGCCTGAAAGATAGTAATGGAAGCCACACTATTTAACATGAGCCTTCTGTTAACAAAACTACAGCAAAGAGTTAAATGATTTCAATAGCCCCTGAAATCAAAGGCACTTGGCCAAGTGAAAGCAAACTGATCTTCACTGTCTGAAATGATAGTGAAAAGAAAGCTCTGGTCACATCAATAACATCTACCAGAACAGACAGAAAAACCCCAAGTAGAACTTAAGCAAGATAAAAATGTCTCCCTCATGAGAGGTGCTGAGGAGATGGGTGGCCCACAGCGGGCTGGCTGGGTTGCTCACCAAAGCCTGGGCGCCCAGGATCCTCCTATCTTCTTGTTCTCCAGCTTCAACAGATGGTCTTCAGGTAATGGCCTCAGGTAGCTGCTCTTCCTACCACCACATCTACCTTCAAGCCTGTGGGAAGCTTTACCAAGGCAATGGGAGGGCAGTAACTTTTCCTTTGGAAGATATTAGCTAGAGGCTGTACACCTCGTTTCTGCTCATACCTGCTCAAAATCTCGTCTTACAAATCCTGTCCCTCCTTTAGCCTAAAGGGAAACTGGGTAATGTGTTGAGCTGACAACCATGGGCTCAGCTAAAATTTCCATTTCTGTAGGAATGGAGAACAGCTAACGAAGGGATCTCTGCCATAAAGGCGTTCCTGGACTGGCATCTTCACTTCCCCACCCCGAGTGAGGCTAGATAGAGACGCAGGCCCTTATCTAGTACTTGGTTCTTTATGATACCAGCATCTTTATTTATCTTTCATGACTAGTAGATAGTGCACCAATTTTTAAAGTGACTTCATTGAATACATTTATCTTCCAGTATTGCATTTACCTAACTTGAAAAGCCAGTGAAATAGAAAAGCCAATTTAAGAGTTATAATTCAAACCATCAGAGACATTTACAAATTAAACTTCCAATAGGACATTATTTGCAACATTTACTCCGTTTCACAAAAAGGTCATAAAGTGTCCTGGCATCATTTGACCAGTAAATTTACCCCCAATTTTATATTTGTATATTTTATATGTTCCAATGCCATTTTGATGCAAACCTTGAGGTTCATAGTTTACATAAAGACATAAAGCAAACCCAAAGAATGACTCATAGGTCAAGGACATTTCCATTGCAAATCACCAAATATTTACACACTGAAATAAAAAGTACACATCCAGTTCTCCATTTTTGCATCTTGCTGTGGAATGATGATTGCATAGTGAAATGCAAAGTCTCTTGAATCATCTGGCCTATCCCAATCTGGAGTATCATTTTCTAAAGCAAAATGGAAAACTAGCCATTAATGTATATATAGGGCCAGTGTGAACTGACTAGCAGTAACTGCATGTAATCTTCTGGAGTTTAGACTCTCAAATGCCCTGCCAACATTGGGCATAGGTGCCACAATGTTTGCCTGTGGGAAGTGAGTAGCCAAGGACACTTTGCTGTACAGAAGTCAATATTCCCCTACAGGGAACTTGGTTTTCAGCTAGTGCTCATTTCAACATACACTTTCAGCGCCGCTGTAAGTTTTTCTCATCCTCTCCTCTCCCCTCCCTCTCCTCTCCCCTCCCCCAAGGCTATCCCTGCTCTTAAAATGAAGTCCTGGAGATTCTGGAAGCCTAAGTAAGACAGTAGTGCTTTCTCTTTGAGAATGTATTTCTTGAACCATTGCCAATGATAGCCAAATCGTGCTTGCATCCTGGATTATGAAACATCCTAGCTTGTCTTGGCTTCTTTAATAAGTAGATTAATCTTTCTCATGAGCAGAAGTTAGTTTAGATAGTCAAATGTACCTGGACACATCTGCTTCTTCCTTATGGTCCTTTTCCAATGTTTGCTTCAAGTTTCCTGTAACATCCTTTTCATATGCTTGAAAAAAATTAATAGACCAAATTTTTAGAGCAGTTTTGGATCTATAGAAAAACTGACATTCCTGTATGTCCTCACAACATTCCCCTGGCTTCTCCTATTAACATCTCCTATTACAATTGTTGCATCAGTATGGATACACTACGATGAACTCAGTCCATAATCCACATGAGGATTCACTTTTGGTGTTACCCATTCCATGGGTTTTGACAAATGTACAATGACATGTATACATTATTACAGTATCTGACAGGCTAATGCTTCCTGGGCTCCAGAGCAGGGCTCACACACCCTGCCATCCCCCAGCTCACAGAAGGTGGAGCAGTGGACAGAAGCTGGTTTGCTCCCAGTTTATGTGTCTGTGTTGTTAGCAGCTGGGATGGACCCAGGCCCACTCCCTTGTCTGGTGACAGTTTCACTGTCTTAAATAACTCTTGGTTCCACCTACTTATTCCTCCTGGACAACCACCAACCATCTTTATTTTTCCCGTGGTTTGCCTTTCCTAGAATGTCATATAGTTGGAATCATACAGACCTTAGTCTTCTCAAACTGTCTTCTTCACTTAGTAATAAGCATTTAAAACTCCTCCATATGTTAAAACTGTTTGGAGGTTCCTCAAACTGCTAAACATGGAGCTTCCCTACAACCCAGCAATCCCACTCCTAGGTATCTACCCAAAAGACACAAAAACACTGTACCCCCATGTTTATTGCTGCTTTATTTACAATTGGAAAAACATGGAAGCAGCCCAAATGCCCAAAAGTAGATGACTGGATAAAAAAGATGTGGTACATATATACAATGGAATATTACTCAGCAACCAAAAAAGAGAAACACATGTCTTTTGCAGCAACTTGGATGGAGCTGGAAAAGATCATGCTTAGTGAGATAAGCCAGAAAGAGAAAGAAAAATACTGGATGGTTTCACTCATAGCAGGAGTATAATGGACCAGGCGAGAAAATTACAAAAATAATGAACAACCATATACCAGAGACATTTTGCGGGGGTGGAGGGGAATGGGATCAAAAACGGGGAGGTGGGGGAGTGGGGGGGGAGGGAAATGCACGGGATTATGGTGATGGCACACGGGTGACTTGGTGATGGGAAACCCGCGGGGATTACAATTGATATGGAAAGAAAAAAAATGTACAAAATGATGTAAAAATAAACTTTTGTAAAATAAAACAAAACAAAACTCCTCCATGTGTTTCATGCTTTGATTGGCCAATTCTTTCTATTGTTAAGTAACATTCTACCACATGGAATAGAAACAACCCATAATTTGTTTCCCCATCTCCCTACTGCAGGGCATCTTAGTTACTTCCTGATTTGGGCAATATGACTAAAGCCACCACAGTTTTTAACTCATTTGAGTTAATACCAAAGGGTGCAATTGTTCAATCATATGGTAAGAGTATGGTTATCTTTGTAAGACTCTACCAAACTATCTTCTAAAGCAGCTGTACTTTTTTTTTAATAACAGTTTATTTTTACATCATTTTGTACATTTTTTTTTCCATCTCAATTGTAATCCCCGCGGGTTTCCCATCACCAAGTCACCCATGTGCCATCACCATAATCCCGTGCACTTCCCTCTCCACTCCCCCATTTTTGATCCCACTCTCCACTCCACCCCCACAAAATGTCTCTGGTATATGGCTGTTCATTATTCTTGTTATTTTCTCGCCTGGTCCATTATACTCCTGCTATGAGTGAAACCATCCAGTATTTTTCTTTCTCTTTCTGGCTTATCTCACTAAGCATGATCTTTTCCAGCAGCTGTACATTTTTAATTCCTACTAGCAATGAATGAGAGGTCTTGCTCCACCTTTTCATCAGAATTTAGTATTGTCAGTGTTTTGGATTTAAGTCATTCTAACAAGTGTGTAGCGCTATCTCATTGCTGTTTTAATTAGCAATTCCTTTATGATATGATGTTGAACATCACTCTTTTAATTATTATGGTTCCTGGAAAGCAATCTGAAGAGACCACATACTCTCTGATTTCAATTATATGACATTCTGAGAGAAATAAACCTCTAGAGGTGTAAAAAGATCAGGGATTGTCAGAGGATGAGGGCAAGAGGGTGAGTTGGCAGAGAACAAGGAATTTTTTTAAATATTTATGCATGCAGGGTACAGACCAGAGGTATGAGGGGTGAGAGGATTCATCAGAGACAGTGGGGAACAGAACAGGCAGAGGTTTGCCACGCCATGTGGGTCACCTGCCCTGGCCAGGGATTGAACTCATGCTGGCTGCAGTGGCTGCAGATAGCTTCACAGTGCTATACTTTAACCTTTTGTGCCATTAGGAAGAGCTCATGAATGAGGAATTTCTAAGGCAGAGAAAGAATTCTGTGTGACACCATAATGGTAGTTACATGCCATTAGACATTTGTCAACACCCATAGAATGTACATCCCCAAGAATGAACCTTCACACAACCTATGGAGTTTGGGCCATAGTGATGTGTCAGTGAAGCTTTAGTGACTATAACAAGTGTCCCACTCTGTGAGCTGTTGAAAGTAGAGAAGGCTGATGACGGGGGTGGATAGAACATATATGGGAACTCTGTGCTTTCTGCTCAATTATACTGTGTGCCTAAAACTACTGTTAAATTATGAGGAAGAGAGATTTCTTATAAGAATGGATGAAGGTGCATGAAGGATGCATCGATGAGATACTGGTTGACCTGCCATTACAGAGTCTCAAAGGGGGTCCAGATGTCATGCATTCAGCCTGTCTGAAAATCTGGTTCTTCTGGAAAGCAGGCCAGCTGGTTGACATCCCAGTAATTGGTCCCTTCCTCTATCTCTCCCCTTCCCTGAACATAGTATTTGCAAATACCCAGTGATGCCCAAAGGCATCTCCCTTGCATTTATGAGTGACTAAGATAGGAGTCACCCTCAGTTCCCAGACTTTTCAACACAGCACCTCTGAAAAGGATGGAGCCCTCGTGGTTTCAACAACTTTCGGCTCACCCTTTCTCTTTGCTGTTCCTCTTCTGTACATCCCTGCTCCTACTGCAAATAGTCAGGCTGTACCAGAAGAGGAGAACACTTCTCAAAGCCTTGCACCTCTTTCCTGGACCCCCTGCACACTGGTTATATGGGCACAATCAGGTAAGAAGAGAAAGTGAACTGGGGAGTTTAAGAGATGTGGAGTATTAGGTATTAAGTTATTAATAAAAGAATTGTGGAGCACTATGTATAACATGATGTACTTTCAGTCCTCTGAATTTTACCAAAAAAAATTCTATGCAATTATTGTTATTCACATTTTTCCAGATGAAAAAAGTGGAGACTAAAACAGAGTTGTAACTTTCTGATGTTAAATGCCTCATATGGAGAGGAGATATTTGAGCCCACAACTTCTAATTCAAAACCACAGTTCTTACTGCTCAGAGGCCTCTGAGTCTTCTGGGGGAAAAAATAGGGCTGGCTGGGTGACAACAGAAGAAATGCCAAGATGCCTAAGAAACTGGAAATAGGGAAATATTTAGCAAATTAGACAGGACAGGAGCTGCCAGAAAGGCATAAAATGCACATGAATCTCCTTGTTTTCAAGGTGGAGAGGGCCCAAGTGGGGAAATGTGGACAGAGCAAGTGGTGATTAGCAGTTGAATTTCCAGCCTAGAATTTATGTTTACTATTCCACTGGATTTTCACAGCAATTTTGTGAAATCAATATGGTTTTCTCTATTATACACAGAAGGAAAGTGAGGACCTAGGTAATAAGGTTCTAGGTAATAAGTCAGTGACAGGGTGGAATTTGAGCTTGAGTCTTCACGGCCCCAGAGCCTGCACTCTCTCTCTCTGTCTTACCACCAAGTCTTCTTACATCACCCAGAACACAGGACCCATTGATTCAGTCTGGCAAGTTCTGGATACATCACGGTCAAACAGATGGCGTAGCAGGTAGCTGCTTACACTCTTCTGTGACCTGAACCCCTTTGCCCAAGGACTAAAGCAGTTTGTGTGAGAAGGCCCTTCAGGGGCAGCCTTACCCACTCTCCTGACTTCCTAAACTCAGCCTGCCTGGCTCCCCTCCACTCTCAACGACTCATTCTCTCTTCTGTGACAAGCCAGATTTTGTCTGCAGCTCTGTACCTTTACATAGTCCACAAGGTTGAAACAGAATTCTCTTACCTGTTTCCTCACACAGTCAAATTCCACTTGTCTTTTAGCCCCAGTTCCAGAATCCCCTCTTTAAATGCTTTCCTTGGCACCCCATTGAAGCCCTAGCAGGGTCCTCCTCTAAACCTCATCTACCACAAGAAAGGAGTAGCTGGCTGAGGGCAGGCTGAAGCCTCACGGGGTTAGCAATGTGGCAGCAAGTCTGACCACACCAGTGGATCATTAATGAGGAGCTATAAAGTTCAAATATGTGGGGAGAAGTGACTTGAGACGTGTTTATGCTTCAGAAAGAGAACTCTGCAGTGTAGACAGTCTACACAAACTGGTGTGAGAAGGCCAATCATCAGCAAGTGCACAGGATAACGTGTCTGAGGTGCTGACACACAGAGAAAACTTGCCTTCAACAGAGGATGGCTCTGCCTGATGGGGTGATGTCCCACCAGCCCTGGATGTAGCTCATGGCCCATCAGAGGAGAAAACTTCCTCCTGGATTAATTCCCATTACTAATTCATAAAATTCTCTTATTGCAGTTTTACCCAAAAAAAGAGTTTGAGAAACTTGGTGAACTGGTTGCAAAATATCCAGGTGCTGTGCCCCTGTGGAACGGACCCTTTGTGGTGTTTTTCATTACCTATGACCCAGAGTATGCCAAAATGCTGCTGAGCAGAAAAGGTAAAAACAAAGAGGGGCCCACAGTACCAAGCAACACAGGGTGACTATAGTGCCAGGGAAAGACGGATGGAAGGAGGTAGAAGGGAACCATCTACTGACATAGTGAAGGGAAATCCCATGTCTCCCAGACCTCAGACCCATACAAAGCTGTTATGCAGAATGAGCTAGTCCATTTCCAAGCATGGTCTTCCTGCATAATAGACCTCTCCTGAGCCTTCCACCACATCTGACACCTTCAGGACTCACTTTCTAACCACTGTGAAGACCAAGACTGGATAAGGACTGGGGAGGTGGTTTGCTGACAGCTTGACCTTAGCAGTTGTGTTGGACAGAGGTGGGTGACCCCTGTAGATATTTTATCCACTAAGGGTTGTTTCCCTCTCTTGGCTGTCATGAATAGTGTGTAATGAACACGAGGATGCGTGATCTTTTTGAATCAGTGTTTCATGTTGTTTGGATACATACTTAGAAGCAGAATTGTGTGCCATAGTACTGCTTTTGCTTCATGCTATACTTTCTGATAAGTCAGGTCTTTATTTTCATTCATCTTCAAGTACTTTTTACTTTCATCTTTGACTTCTTCATTGACCCAATAGCTGTTCCATAGTATGTTGTTTATTTTCCACAAATTTAGGTTTTCTCCTCTTTTGTCTTTTGGTTGACCTCTAGTTTTCATATCATTATGATCCAAAATTGTTTGCTATTATTTCAATCTTCATAAATTTATTGAGACTTGTTTTGTATCCCAACATTTGTACATTCTTAAGAAAGTTCCACAAGTACTTGCAAAATGTGTTTATTCTTGTATCTTGGATATATGTGCTGTAACTATCTATTTAGTCCATCTCATCCAATATATCATTTAAAATATCCTGTTTTGTTTTGTTATATTGTTAGTTATCAGCTTAGAGGTTGAGCTACATTTCCTTTTCCAGCAGATGGCACTGTAGTTTGATCATTTCCCCTCTGCTGGCTTTGGTATGTACTGTAGTCTGTTTTTATAGTTGTTGTGTCCTCAGAGGGAGGCAGGGCATGGAGGGGTCTAGGTTATGGCAAATGCCAGAGTCTGGTTTATGTTTGTTGTACCACCAATATCTTTCATCTCTTGAGTCTCAGATCTCAAACTCAGCAGTCTTCCATCAGTGCACTTTAAGAGGTCAGTGACATCTGAGAAGGAAGAGCTGTATAGAGAGGTGAGGGGTGTCCTACCAGGTGAGGAGAGAAAGTAATCTAGAGCCCCTTTTCTGTTGTCTTTCTGACCAGGCTCCCAGTCTGTGTGGGGTACTCCAACTACTCTTAAAAAAAATTTATTTATTTATTCATACAGAACTGGAGTACAGGCCAGAGGTGTGGGGCAGTGAAAGCCTTCACCAGAGACAGAGTGGGGAGCAGAACAGGCAGATCAACAAAATACACTGCTGAGGGGAGCAGCGGGTAGTCAGGAGAGGTCTGCCCCGCCATGTGGGATCACCTTGGGGGAGGGTGGGAATTGAACTCAGGCTTAAGTGGCTTTAGCTTCTTAGTGCTGTGCTTTAACCCACTGCGCTACCACTGAGGGCCCTCCAACTACTCTTTATGGCATCACCTGGACCAAAGATGGCTGCCTCCACACCACTTCCATTCTCCCTCTCCACCAGGACCTTTGGCTTGACCAGCAGCCCTGCTTCATCCCCTATCCTCACCCAAGCTTCCAGGTATTTCTCTCCACCTACCTCCTGTCCTGTGAAGCCTTACTATCATCCATGTATCCTCTGGGACACTGTTGATCTCTGAGGTGCAAAGGGTGATTTCAAGTCACAGAATTCTCCAGAACACCAAGACACCAGTGTTCCCCTAGTTGACTAGTAGATGCTTCTCTTGGAAATGAGAGCAAGGAAATCCTTCTGTTGCTATCTTGGTCTATACCTTAGAATTTCAGTTTGGTTTCTTTTTGTTCCTAGTCTGTGTATGTTCATATACTACTCTCCTGGTTTCTTTTAATACTTAGCCCATGGTTTTTTTATTTCTTTGAGCTCATTCTAAATCATTATCTGATAAGTCTAATGTCTATGTTTCCTCAAGGGAAAGTTTTTATCATGACTTTTTGTGGAAAACATGCATGTTTTCTTTTGCATGCTTTGTAAATTTTTGTTTAAAAACAGATATTGCAAATTTTATGTCAGAAAAGAAAAAGCAAAAAGAGGGGACAATACTCTCCCAGTTTTTGATGGTTGATTCAGTGTTGGAGCACAACTTCAGTGTTCAGCTAGACCATTTATGACTTCAATAAAAAATAGACATCTGATTCTTTTTGTCCTTGGTAAAAGAGCTAGCCAAAGTTGAAAGTTTATGGACTTTCTTCGGGATCTTGTGTCTTCTCTGTCATGCATCCTTCTCTGGACAGGTATAAGTAATCCATTATGGGTGGGACCTTCCCTTTCAGTGCCCCAATACCTTCCAGAATGCTTACTCCCAGATTTTGGTGTGTATATTGTTGCCTTGACTCTCTTTTCCTCCCAAGACAGCAATGTTAGTTCTTTTGTTTCCCCAAGTTTATGAGAAATATTTCTGTGCATTAACTCGAAATGCCAGGGACCAAGGAAGTAACATCCTGCATTATGACTATTTGTGTTACCTCTGAAGCATTTGAAAACATAGACACTCTTTTATCTTAATGGATGATTTTCACTGACTGTCATCTTTAATCTCCTTGACAGATCCCAAAACTACGCTTAGCCACAAGTTCATTGAATCCTGGGTTGGTATGTATAACTTCTGACTCATTCCTATTTAAGCCCAGGAGAGGAAACCATTCTGGTAGACACCAAATTTTCCTTGCCCACTTTCACCTCCATTTACACCCACTTTTGCCTCAGAACACTTTGCTCAATTTGGGATTATTCTGTATAAATTTTCCTCTTGTTCTGACAATTGAGGAAGTGGCCCCTTATTGCTGGTATAACTGGAGGTAGAGATGGAAAAAGGAGATGGGGGCTCATTCTCTGTCAATTTCTTCCCTCCTGTACCATTGTCACAGCCCCTAACGCCTCCCCACTCAAGGACCCTGGAAAAAGAAGTGTCCCTTAGCCTGATGAGATGGACTTTAGCGATAATGGCAACCTGGAAGAATCTGCTCTTTAAAGATTACTTAAGATGTCTCGCTCCACTTTCCCAGCCCAGCTTCTTGATTCTTGGCCAGCGGGTAAACTCACACCAGTAGGTCCAGGCCCTAGGTACCATTGTCCCCAGATCCCTGGGTCAGACTTGCACTGGAACCTTCTTTCCTTCTCCCCAAATTTTCTTCCCTACATGGAATTCAAGATATTACTCACCTTGAGTTTCACTTTTGTTTTCTAAAACCAATCTTCCCTAAACATGTTGCTTATGTTACCAATTTGAGAGCACCCACACTCTGCTAAACCAAAGCTTTCTTGAGTTTGGTGGAGATCTTGGATCCACTTACACAATAGGGAATGAGAAATGAAAGCTCCCTGAGACCTCCACCATTCGTCCCCAGCCTGAAGACACCAACACTGCTGCATGAGCCTGGGACTTTGTGGCAGCCCAAAGTAGTCTTGCCAAAAGTATGGCTCAGAACTGGCTGAGAGCCTTGTTGTAATTCAAGAGGTTTTGGTGCCACGCCAAACTCTAGGGATTAGTGACTACGAGAAAAGGAGCACAAGAATTTAATAAGCTTCAGATAATTCTTCTCTAAGCTAAATTTGATTTCTACTCATCTAGATAATGAAAGGTATCTGATCCTCAAACAAGATGGATGGGAATTCTTTCCAAATTTCAGTGCAAACTAATTTTCTGGTTTGCAATGATTTCCAGAGTGTTTCATCTACTCACTCACTCCTTCAGAGCTCTGCCCTCTCTGACTTCTCTCAGCAGCATAGAGAACATTGCTACTAGTCTCCCTCATTTCTCTGCAATATGAGTGTGTCCCCTTTCCATTTCACAAGGTCAAGGACTGGTGACTTTGAGTGGTCTTAGGTGGCAACAGCACCGCAAGATTATGAAATTTGGTTTCAACATCAACATTCTGAAACTTTTCATCACCATGATGTGTGAGCACGTACATGTGATGCTGGTAAGAGAAGAGAGATTCCTGCCAGGTTCTGCAGGGAGTTTCCACCTGTTGTGTGGAGTAAGAGAATCTGAGCTCCCTCAGAACTATGCTCACGCGATCCTTGGGCCACAAGCATCATGAAGGCCTGCCGAATTACAGACCCAACACCTGTCACCGTGGTGGGTGCTCCATAAGGGCTACTTGTATGAGTGAGTAAGTCCAGCAAACTCACCAAGTCGGGTGAGTACAAGGCACAAAGGCCAAGCGCCATGTTCTATGGCATAGACAACAGGAAGAGTAGGAATGCCAACACATTCCTGATGCTCAGGAGCACCAGGAAACACTTCTTAAGGAAAGAGATTGCAATTAGGGCTTGGGTATCAGCAAGATTGATATGGGTGTCAGACAGGGAGCAGGCCACTAGTAAGGCAGGGGATGGAGTGTTATGTCTTCTGAGGCAGGGAGAGTGCAAACGCTTCATCAGACCACATACAACTCATAGAGAAGACAGTTTCTCCAAGCTTCTCCTCCTGGAGGTTGGGGGCCACTGGCATTCAAGGCCAACCTTTGTTTCAGCAGTCCTGACAGGTGAGTATGAGAATTTAGATCCTAAGTGTATTTACAGGTTGTAAATATCTCAGATGGTCCAGAGGAGCAACAAAACCTGACTTCACAGTGAAAGAAAAGATCTTGTGATTTCAGAATGCTGAATTCAGTGACCTGAAGCCTGGGTCCAATGAAGTACTGAAGGAAACAGAAATTTTCTAGTTTTTGTGTGATTGGGCACCATTTTGAAGGTGGAAACATGGAGAAAAAAAGAATAGCAGTAGCCTTCTGTTGCACCTGTAAGCACAGGCAGGTTCATTAGTGATTCAAGCAGATGGATAGTCCTGGAGCCCTGAGTGGATTTTTCCAGCTTTAAAGCCCTAAGGAACCAGGTACACAGGCACACCTGACAGGGGGCTGGCAGGCAAAGAGGCAGGTGTGTGCCAGGAAGGGGGCAGCTGGGAGGCAAGAGGCAACTGAGCCTCCCAGACCCCACAAATCTTCCTCTAGACCCTCTGGTGATCTGTCATGGTCTTATCTCTTCTGTAGTCACTCACCCCTTTGTGACGAGTGATGCGGATCCCACCATAGCCATCCTCTGTCTCTGAGTGACGCCACCCTATAGCCCTGCCCTGCAGGCTCAGGAGGCCAGCAGTGTGAAAAACCGGATCAACTTCATTTACCCTACACTTTCCTTGGTCACTTATTAGATGTCAATCACTGGGTGATCCACACACAGGACCTCAGTTCTATGCTCAAAGACTATGAAACAGGGACACAACGACAGAGCATGCCCCAAGTCGCCTTCAGTAAATGACTAATCCTGATTTTAGCCAGTTCTGACTGGCCTTGTGTTTTCCAGGGAGCCACACTGCTATCATTTCTGATACCTGTCACCATGGCCCCTCCCATTCTAAAATTAAAATCATACAGATACAGCGATAGTCAATCCCTGTGAAGCACTTAAGTTGTGTCAGGCTCGTTATGGCCTCTCAAAATACTACAGGCTTAGTATTTTGATTAATAAGGACTATTTGATTAATAAGGACTTTGAAATTTGATTAATAAGGACTTTGAAATTTAGAGATTAAATGGCTTGGTCAGGTCATAAGGCAGATTAGAGTCAGATCTGGGGTTCAAATTTAAGCCCCCATGTGAAGCACAATCTGGACCTAGGGACGAAAAAGAACTTAGAAATTAGAAAATTAGTTGTGATCTCCTGCACAGGACAAGTGGGAGAAGCTCACTGCCCAGGACCCACATCTGGAGATCTCTGAACACATCTCCATGATGACCCTGGACACCATCATGAAGTGTGCCTTCAGTCACAAGGGCAGCATCCAGACAGACAGGTCAGTGATCAAAAGAAAGGACCTGCTCACTAACAGTCTTGTCTTCCACTGAGATGACGTCCCATCTCTCCTCTTCCAGAACCCTCAGCTTCTACCTGGAAGCCACATTCAACCTCAGCAATCTCACCTTCCAACGTGTGTACAATATTCTCTATCACAATGACCTGATTTTCAAATTGACCTCTGCAGGCCAAGTCTTTTCTAAATCTAACCAAGTTGTTCACCAGTACACAGGTACGTCCTGGGCTCTGCCTTGCCTGAGTCCTCTGTGAGACATGTCATTGTGTGAGGCACAGACCCTGGTTAAGGCTGCCTCTGTTGAGGACATAGGGTGTGGCCATCATTCAGAAATTAAGTCAGAATTAATATGCTACAAAAATTGTCAGTAGAGAATATTTCAGTGCTGAATACATAGCTAGATCATCATGTTCGGAGTCAGAATTAGTACAATTAGCAAACATCACTGTATTTGCTTCATTTGTTTGTTTTTCCTCACAGAGGAAGCCAGATGTGGCTTCGGATTTGACTTCAGCTGTGAAGTGGCTTCAGCTGTGAAGAAAAACAAAAGTCCAAGGAGGCAAATTGGACACATGTGGGCACTGTACTCAGTGTATCAAAGAACAAAGCTCACCCCTGAGTCTGAGTATTCCCCTGCACAGGTTTCAGAGCTTTGGTCACGGACAATTTAGGGGAGCCTGCCACATGGCTACTACCATAATCCCTATTTAGAATTGTTCTATATCCTCAGTTCTCACTTTATGATAATGTAATTTGCTTCCTTTCTCTTCTAGCACTTGTCTTAAAATTGACTCTAACTAATATTATTATAAATAACCTCTTATTTTCTTTTGGTTAATAATTTAATAGGATATTTTTCTATCCTTTTCAGATGAGAATTCTAGGTTGGCAATGAATGCATTCAGGGTTACCTACTGAAGTCATTATTTACCAGTAAGATAGGCTTGACCTGACTCCCCTTGATGACAAAACTAGATAAATCCACCTACTAGCTGTGTGAATAAATGCTTTCTGTTTCCTTAGTTGTAATTTGGAAAAAATACTACCTACTCTGTATGGTTTAGAACCGATAATATTGTGGATAGCCTTAAGGACATTTCCTAGCATGTCAGGTGCTCAAAACAAATTCTCATTTCCTCTCTATGAATGAAACAAAAGCAGACAGACCTATAATAAGACATCTGTAATTTGGTAATATACCAGTACACAAAGCAAGGTCAGGAAGAACTACCCATAGAGACCTAAATGAGTTAGATCCCACAACTGTCCTACAAAGCAACAAGTGATGGGTATATGTCTGTGTTATGCTTCTGCAGGCAAATTTTCCTCTGAACACACACACAAGAAAATTCAGGAGTTGATAAATCGACTGTGTTCAGTCTAAGGGAGCAGAACTGTCTCAGATGTGTGATTGAGACAAAGGGATCACCTGTTCACCTGTAGTTTTGGTATCACAAAACAGAAGGAGACTGATTTTCCTTAAGCCTTTTCGCTAGGGTTTTTCTTCCTCCTTCTCTCACCTCTATCACTTAATCTGATGATAATTCCACACCAGATTCCACCACTAGACATAATATCTCATCCCTAAACATTTCTTTTGCAGTAAATCTTATTCATTTTTACATAATAAGGTTGGCTCAAGAATTAGTAGTACCTAACAATATGAAAAATTAGAGAACATTGAAGTCTACTTATGTGCCAAGCATCTCCAACCATGACAACTTTGTATGTTACTTTTGAACATCTTATTTGATGAGAGGCAAGGGGCCATTTTAAAGAAAAAGCAAGTTCTTGGTGCTACCCACGACCAATTCAGAAAGAGGGTAAGCTAGAGGATTTCCATGTGGCACTAGCCTTTCTGAAGTGTATTTGGCTTCAAAGGACTTTCTAAAAATTATGGTAATTAAAATATGTAAATATATATATATATACATATATTTTCCCCCCATCTAGAGAAAGTAATCCAGGACCGGGAAGACATGCTTAAGAATGATCAAAAGCAAGATACTACCCAGAAGAGATACAATGACTTTCTGGACATTCTTTTGAGCGCCAGAGTAAGTCTCCCAACTTTTGAAAACACTGAGCTAATAATTAAATATTAAAAAAAAAATAGCAAACGTATTAGAAAAACTTGTTTGATTTGATGGATGTATACTGAACTTATCTTGTGAAAATAAGATTCCTTGTGCTCCTGGCACTTTGCAGGCTTCCAGTATCACATTTTAGCTATTTAGGTACCTGTCTACCTGTTTCCTAGGCCACAGCCACTACAACTTTCTTCCTTAACATGCAGTCCATAGACCAGCAGCACTGCTACAACCTGAAAACAGGATCTCAGGCCCCACTCTTACTCTCAAGAATTAGAATCTTCTTTTTAACAAGTGATTTTACAAGGTGATTCATATGTAAATTAAAGTTTGAAAGCCCCGAACTAAAAGACTAGGATCATATTTTATTCCTATCCCCCAGTGACTAACAGGGTTTGGTAATCAGCTCATGGTATCAGTGAGAAACCAAGGCATCTTGGAGGCTTGGTAGACCATATTCAAATGCAGTGTATACTGCCCCTTGTCATGAGAATTTAAGCAAGAACTTCATATCTCAGAGTCCAGTTCTTCTGTAAATGAGGTAAAGTTCTATTCTGGAGAGTTGGACAGGTTCAGTGAGAGAATCCCTGGAGTCAATCAAATTTGATAGTCTGCTGTAGTTGATGGGGCCAGCAATTTTATAACGATCAAATGGTTGATGATATGTAAAGATTCTGACATGGTAGTGAAAACACGTTGCCACTTACTAACTTTGCTTATGGGCCAAGAACTTCAATTTTTTACTAGAATAACCCTGCAGGGTAACTTTGACTATCTTTATTTGACTGAAGAGAAACTGTGCCTCAAAAGGTAAAGTCAACTGTTCAAGGTCACATATGTAGAAAGAAACAAAATTAGAATTTGAGACAGTTCTACCTCTTTTCATTGCACCTTAAAGATACTCTGTGCTGGGCCCTCCCTGGTGGCTCAGCAGGTTAAAGCACAGCACTGAGAATCTAAAGCCGCTTCCACAAGAGTTCGATTCCCACCTGTCCCAGAGGTGACCACGGTGCAGCAGACCTCTCCTGACCCGCCCACTGCTCCCCTCAGCAGTGTAATTCATCAATCTGCCTGTTCTGTTCCCCACTCTGTCTCTGATGAAGCCTCTCACTGCCCCTGAGCCTCTGGCCTGTACCCCAGTTCTGTATGCATAAATAAATAAAAATTAAAAAAAAAAAGATACTCTGTGCTAAACAGAACGTCCAACCCTCATCTATCAGTGTTCAGTAAATTGAGTCACATGCTTCCCTGTTATCAATAAGAAATTATTCAGGAACATAATTTCAGTTGCTACATAACTCTCATTTCACAGATGGGCCATAATTTATTTTACCTTTTTTTGTTGCTGGCCACTTAGGATCATACCAATTTTGGATTATGGTATCAAATATCCTTTATATAAATTTCCTGTGCAACTTTAAAACATGTTCTTAGAATTGACTTCTTTAACTGGAATTAATATGTAAAAAAATCTGAACATCTGTGGAACTTTTGATTCATTCTCCCCAATTGAATTCTGTTGATTTGTTGATTTTTTTAATAAAACTCAGTGTTTTGACATCCATCTAAGTTTTGAAAATTGTAAAATTGTAAAATAATTACATACTCAATGAATAAATTTTGAATTTGAAAGCATTTATCTTTTCCTGTAATCAGTACTATGATTGAAGGAAATGGCTATCCATAGTCAACTTTGAATACAAATCATTGTATTTTTTTTAGAGCGAAAACAGAAAAGACTTTTCCAGCGCAGATGTCATGGCTGAAGTGAAAACGTTCATGTTTGCAGGACATGATACCACATCCAGTGCCATCTCCTGTATCCTCTACTGCATGGCAAAATACCCAGAGCACCAGCAGAGGTGCAGAGACGAAGTCAGGGAACTCCTGGGTGACGGGTCTTCTATTACCTGGTAAGCTCTGTGTCCCAAATCTGATGTTTCTCCTCAAAACTCATTTCTGAGAAGGTAATCTTTACCATAATTTCCTCACAACTGAGTTACCTCATTGATGCTTTTAAAAATAGTTTTTAAGTTTATAAGTTATTTTCCCTCACTCTTGGTCAAGACAGGAACTCTGCATTCCTACTACACTCTTCCCAGAGTGCTAATTTGTTCATCATAGAAGAAAAACCAATCAGGATATAAGCAGAACTCTCAAGCCAATCCAAGTACCTCACCTGCTTGCTCATGAACACACCACGTAGTAGGTGTGGCTCGGGCAAGAACCCTGTACCTGAGAAAAAAACCTTCCAGTTACAAATGTGAAAATTGGTTCATGTTATTAGTTTTTCCTCATAGAAGCATTTTCCTTATAGGACTTCCATCAGTTCTCCTTTGGATAAAGAAAAAAATTATTCCTAATTTTAAAAATGGGGAAAGCCTGGGTTTTCAGTCCAGTAGCTAATTGACCTCTCCTCCCCCTGGCGTCGCCAGGGACCACTTGAACCAGATGCCCTACACCACCATGTGCATCAAGGAGGCCCTAAGAATCTACCCGCCCATCCCGATGGTGTCCCGGAAGCTCAGCGAACCCATCACCTTTCCAGATGGACGCTCCTTACCTGCAGGTCGTAAAACTTAACACATTCATGGCTACAAGTGACATTTGTTTTTAGAATCTATGGTGCTTTGGACCAGAGGGCTTCTTAGTTCTTAGAGAAAGAGCAGAGAACACTCAGGACCACAGCAGCCCCGCCACCCCAACAGGCTGAGATTATCAGAGCGCAAAGTACAGAATTCTGCCACAGAGAGGGGTTGGGGTGCTTAATAAAGCATCATGGCTTTAGTGCTGGACCTTGACAGACTAGGAGATTTGTGTCGGTGAAGATGAGAGGGTAGGATTGCAAGTAGTGTGAAGATCAGACACAAAGCAGCAGCCACCTGCCAGCTCCTTTCCCTACCCACACGAGCAAGGCTCACCGGAGCCACTCCAAGGGCCCCAGGAGCCACCGAGGGAAGCTGTGGGACTCGCCTAGATCTGTGACAGCCAGGGCACAGAGCTAAAGGCCAAGCTGCTGTGTTCAGTCTGGCTTGATTAAGTGGGAGACTGAGGCTGAGCTGGGTGGCATGATAATAGTTCTTTTAGGAAAGTTAACCTGTAGTGAAATGCAAGAAGGGTTGGAAAAGATGATATCAGACACATGAATGGACAGGCCATAATTTATCTTTTACCTATGTTACCTAGATTGATGTATTTTTCTATGCTTCCTCCAATCTTTTTTTTTAAGATTTATTTGTTTATGCATACAATAACTGGGGTACAGGCAGACGTGTGGGGGTAGGGTGCGGAGGAGGGAGGAAAAGGGTTCACCAGAGAGAAAGTAGGGAGCAGAGCAGGTAGATCCACTGAAATGCACTGCTGAGGGGAGCAGCTGTGAGACAGGAGAGGTCTGCTGTGCCATGAGGGTCACCTCCCTGGCCAGGGATAGAACTTGTACTACAGTGGCTGCCTATAGCTTCATAATGCTGAGACTTAACCCCTTGCGCCACCAGGGAGGGCCTGCTTCCTCCGATCGGAATGCTCTTTCAAATACTTGGTTTGAGTGGACAATTGCAGTGGTCCTAATAAATGCAGCAGTATTTCATGACAGCTGTGCTACCATCGTTGTATAGCGCAACTAAATGTTTGTATCCTACAAAATTAACTTTCCTAATGCAACGACATAAACAAGCAATTACATAATGTTTAATACTAATTAATATGGTAGATCTTACAAATGTAATATCAAACTCTCCCCTAATAATAAAGAATACACATTCCTTTCCAGTGCACATAGAATGGTCCTTATAGTTGGCTGTATATCAGTCCACAAAGAAAAATGTAATTCTCAAGGAGAAGCATTACAAAATAACAGTCTTTAAACCCAAATAAAAATGGAAATTGATAACAAGCGCTTTTCATAAATGCTCACTCACTCACCAGGAGACAAAAATCTGTTAACTCTCAAGGCAAAGAAGAATAGAAACCACGTCATAGCTTTAAAAACTATGGGAGTCAAGGGGTCTGTTCTATAGCCGTGTTCAGAGAAACTGTAACAACAATAAATCTTTATGAAAAATACAAGAAATAAAATAAACATTGATGTCCAATATTTATAGGGCAAATGTGCCATTTTAGAACTAGAAAACTACAGCCAGACAAAATTTTCAGAGGCCCTAAAAAGGAACCAGATCTATCCAGTTTTGCAGAAATTTTTCAGCCCTTTAAAGACCATGTTTCCTAATACTACATAAAACTGTCCAGAGCATAGAAAAATAAAAAAGGGAAAGTGAAAAACTTATTCAAGGAAGGATAACATTGACAACAAGCTTTATAAATATTTTTAGGTAAATCTCATATACATTGGTACAAAAAAATCTCAATAAATATCAGTAGACAGAATCTAAGTAAATAAAAATGGAAAAACAAGGGCATCATGGGCCCTCCTTCATGGTACGACGGCTTAAAGGGCAGCACTGGGAAGCTAGCCACAGTCACTTCAACGCAAGTTCGATCCCCACCCCAGAGGTAACCCACATGGCGCGGCAGACCTCTCCTGAACCGCCCGCTGCTCCCCTCAGCAGTGTACTTCGTCAATCTGCCTGTTCTGCTTCCCGCTCTGTCTCTGGTG